ATATAAATCTATCGCTGTTGTTGGAAGAAAACCTTGTATCTCCAAAATGGTAACTTTACAGGAGATGGGAAAACACCTGCTTTACTCTTAATGTAAGTCAATGGAACCAGACTCCGCCCCCCCAAGTCATTTTGGTCCGTTTCTTTTGGTCCATTCTTCATGAAATTTACACACAATGTAAAGAGCAACAGGTCTTTTCAAAATGTGTCAACAACTGAAAAACAACAAATAGATCTTAAGCACTGAACAGCACTGATGTTTTATTTGATTTGTTGCAGTTACCAGCAAGCAGATCTCACCGTTCATCAGACTCGAACCATGCAGATCACCATAGAGACAGGAGCCGCTCTCCGCTGCGTCACAGAGAGGACAAGAACAACCATTCGTCTTATGAATCAGACAAAAGGTCCAAACCCAAAGCCCCCAGCCCCCCCACACAGAGAGACCGCTACCGCAGACCCCAGAACACCAACTACAGCAAGTAAGTCTGTGCACCCTCTTACGAACGAAGCTGCGTCTGACAGGATCAGCTTTCAAGACACAACTTACACCTATTCATCATTAGGTACTCTATGTGCTCTGTATAGCGATTGTTTAAGATACTTTGGGGAGAGTAGGACACAATCTAACACCTTTTGTGTTTTTTTGTTTATTCATTTTATAAGTATTTGAGCACAGTTATTGTTTTTATACATCTCTGCTGAAAGCGCAAACTTTTTTAATAAACAGTTCAGCCGAAAGCAGAGTGAGTGCAAATGTTATGAACTTGCCCTGTAGGTGCTCAGGAGTTAATTGTAACAGGTGCTTGCTGCAAAACACACTTACCTCAGTACAGTTATATATTGTTTTGAACCACATGAGCTTTACAGCCTATATACATAAATAAAAAAACATGTTAATCAAAGGAAATATGATTTATTGAAAAATGGCCAAACCCTGGAAAATTTATTTTGACCACAAAGTACATTTTTGAAGAATTTGTTCATAAAAACATCCAAAAAGCTACAAAAACAAACAAAAAAAAGTTTTGGGTTTTTTTATGGGAGGAATATGGACTTTTGTCATTGTTTGTTTTGGGGGTCTTAGTTGTAACACCCTGTTAAACTAACCCCACTCACTGTGTGGAGGCAGTACTAGCTTAGCTAGCTCAGTGAATTGTTTATATTCTTATGTTACAGACAACAAAAGAGTGAATAAAGTAATGAAGGTGTGAATTCTGTGACTTACGCACATAACTTAGTAATCAAAAACACTCATGATGAGGGGGAAGTTAATGCTTCACAGTACTGTAACGATAAAGAGTACTGAGTGAAATGGCTTTGGACTCTGAAATATGCAAAGATAAAAAATAGTAGTTTGTTGATTGTTGTGTGATGCTGGCTAACTGGCCCTGAGAACAGTGTGTGGCATAAAATAATCACAGTGTGGCAAAAATACATTAGCATGCAGCGTCTGTCCTCTTTCTTAACTTGGAACTGTCTTTTCTCTCAGGCGTCTCTCAGCTGAAGAGCTGGAGAAGAAGAGGAAAGAGATGCTGGGCTTTGCTCGTGAAAGAGAGGAGGAGAGAGAGAGCAACGTGAAGAGGTACAAACGACAAGACGAACAGGAGAGAACCCGGGATGATGCGAGACATGGCCACCATGCCAGCTTCATACAGTGAGTGTCAATTCAGTTAATCAGATGTGCTTTAAACTAGGGCTGGGCAGCATGACTGTAGTGACAAAACTGTGTCATAATATGTTCTTCTGAACACATTCTAGATATCGTCAGTACTTCTAGAACACCACTGCCTGAGTCGTAAAAGTGTATAGTGTATAATAACTATGTAATAGCAAGTTACTGATTGTATGTGATTCCACTGTGGTCTCATTCTGTACAGTCACTGCCTGTATCTGTATGTCCAAATGACACCTGCTCCTCCAGCGTTTCTTCTGAAATGAAGGGTATTAATAGGGAGTTTGGCCCTCTTTGCTGCAGTAACAGCCTCTACTCTTCTGGAATGGTTTTACAACAGATGTTGGAACATTGCTGTGAGGATTTGATTGAGCATTAGTGAGGTCAGGTACTGATGTTGGGTGATCAGTTCTGGCTCACTCCAACTCATCCCAAAGGTAGTGGATAGAGCTTACAGGTCCACTCCTCCACAGCCCAATGCTGGGAGACTTTATACCCCTTTAGCCCATGCTTGGCATTAGGCCTGGTCACCTTAGACTCATAGAGTGTCCTACTGTATGGGCCACTGCTGTACTGTGGAGATTATACAAGATGTGTGCACAGCTGAACACCTGTGTCAGCAATGAGTGCACATTAAAATAGCTGACTTAACTAACTGCATGTCTGGATACTTTTGGACATATAGTGTTTTTTTGTGGTCGTTTGATTTTAAATGTTTTTTCCATACATTGCATTTTAAATAATCATTATGCACATAGCGTTTTATCTTTAAACTTTATGTATATGTACATATACATGTACACATACTCATATTTGTTCTGATATTGGGTTGTCCTGACCTTTTTTGGGTGAAATGACATAGCACATTATAACAACTATATATGACAATATATCGTTATCATGATAAATTATGTCACAACACAATACAATATGCCTTCCTGAACATATCGTCTATATCGTCCGTACTTGTAGATACTGACCACCTGCATGTTTCTTAATAAAGAGAGCAAAGTTAGTCGCGTTTACCTGGATTTAGTGCGACGCAGTGTGCCAGATATTGAATAAAAGTCATTGTGTTCACAGTTTTGATAGTATTTTTTAAATGTAGAACTACTGGTTCCTTTTTCTCTGTTCCAACTGATCAGATGTCCGAAAAAATATTGTGACATATCGTGTATTGTGAAAATTTCTTGAAGTATCGTGATATTATATTTTTACCATCTCGGCCAGCTCTACTTTGTAGCTTATGTGTATCACAGTGACAGTGCTGATGATGGGACAGCTTCTCCAGGGTATATTTTGGTTTTTCCATCTGAATTTACCTGACCAAATCATAAGGCAAATTATTCAGTAACTGCATGAAATAAACGTAAATTTTTATTTTATTATTTTTTGTAAAAGCTCCCCTCAAAATAACAGAACATGTGTTTTATGATCATACACATGTTGCTATATGCTTACAATTTACTGCTGAAAGCCAAAAATCTTAGACGCTCTTTGTATTGTTTTATAAAAATAATGTTTACAGAGCAGATCACTGAAGAGACGCCATCTGTTCATAGTTTACAGCCCAGATTTGTGGAAAAATGGGTCGACTTTCAGTAGACAAAAAAAGTTGTGAGTTCAGCTTCTTTTATTATAAGGGTTTAAAATCACATCACCCATCTATTTGACTGGAAAGAAGACAGTTACAGCTCTCATACGACCCCCACCTTTAGAATGTAGCTTATGAAATATGAAAGTTATGAAGAATATGACAAAGTGCGTTTTGGAACCAGCGGTGGTCTCAAGGAGTTGAAGAGGTTAAATCTTAAAAATGATCAAATGAAACTCACTTTAAGGTCCCCAGAAAATGCAGTTTTGTTCAACCATTTTGACCTACCAGCATTTTGTCACTGTGACATGGGATGAGATATAAAGCTCGTCATTTCAGTTATGACGATACCTAATGTCAAATTTGGCAAAATTTTATGACAAATGACTCCCATTGGAGTAAGGGTTTAGAAAAGTTTATGTATGTCTATGTCAGCATGTTTGTCAGTTGTCATCAAAGGTTTATGTAGGTGTTGTGTAGCCTTATAACCACGACCCTATGGTAAAGTGTTATGGATTATTTCTTTTGTATGGTTTAAATTATGATTTTTGGGATACTTTAAATGTCTTTTATGTTGCCTTTCTTTATACAGCAACATGAAGCTGGAAAGTGCTGCCACTTCATCAGTGGAGGACCGAGTCAAAAGAAACATTCACTCCATTCAGAGGACCTCTGCCTCCCTGGAGAAAAACTTCATGAGAAGATGAGCGCAGAGAGAGAAGGACACCTACCACTATTCCAGTTTCTCTGGTTTCTCTAAATAAAAGAGGGCCAGTTTATTATTCTGTATATAGAATTTGTTGTAGGCAAGCCCTACCTAACCTCATACTGATCTGAAGATGCCTCCCCTGACAGAGAACAGATAACAGATGTGTGATCACCAGCGCTGATGTATTTACAATGTACAGCATTTTAAATGTCTTTCTTTTCAATTTCATTAAATTAGATATAATGTGCTCAATGGCCTATTGTACAGTAATGATATACACCGATCAGGCATAACATTATGGCCACCTCCTTGTGACCACTGATGAAGTATTATAGAATGACCAACACAAACTGCAGCTGCAGATGAGCTATCGTTTCTGACTTTACATCTACAAGGTGGACTGACAAGGTGGGAGTGTCTAATAGAGTGGACAGTGAGTGGACACAGTGTTTAAAAACTCCAGCAGCACTGCTGTGTCTGATCCACTCGTTCCAGCACAACACACACTAACACACCACCACCACGTCAGTGTCACTGCAGTGCTGAGAATGATCCACCACCCAAATAGTACATGCTCTGTGAGGGTCCATGGGGGTCCTGACCACTGAAGAACAGGGTAAAAGAGGGCTAACAAGGTATGCAGAGAAACAGATGGACTACAGTCTGTAACTGTAGAACTACAAAGTGCACCTATATAGTAAGTGGAGCTGATAAAATGGACAATGAGTCTAGAAACAAGGAGGCGGTCATAATGTTATACCTGATCTGTGTATATTAGCCTAGTGTTTTTGGTGATTACCTTTCAACTGTCTTTTCTGTGAATTTTGTATTTTTAATGAGGTCAAGACGTAAGAACTTTTATTTTATTTCTTTGTTAATACAAATGCTATGCATTTGCTTTACTGAATTGTCTTATTACAAATACACAGCTAGCCGTAACTCCGGCTTGGCCTCATTCTTTGCAAATTGATGATTTCATTCAGATGATCAGAGTAGACCAGATTTTAGCACACAAGACAGAGCGATTTGTTGATGCTGTATTCACTTTATTTCAAGCATTTTGTGCTTTAGAGCAGGATAATACTGAGGCCTAGGAACATTAGTCCTACAGTTGCTACAATTACAGAGGCTCAGCTGTGCTACATGTCAGCCTGTTTCAGGGATGGAGGCTGAAGGGGAGGGAAAGAGAGTGTGATTGGCAGCATATTGACAGAGGAAATGCCTCTGGGTCCTGGCTGTGGTCAGCAGGCTGTCCTGGACTTCCAGAAGTAGTTCATGCAGTTGACTGGTTTGGCCGTCACGGTGTTGTCTCTCCGTACCAGCTCCATCCTGCTCTGAGGGGGGTCCTCTGCCTGCACAGGGGCCAACTCGGCGTTGCTGAGCATCCACTGGAGCTCAGGGATGCTGAATCTCTCAGGTATCTGCATGTTCAAAAGAGAAACAACCCAAAATGAAGCATTTAATCATCGCTACATCTGTAAAAATGCCTGTTTGCCTCCTACAGGTGCTGCAGAAGTGTTTAGAGCAGAGTTTCCCAGTTTAAAGGTTAGGAAAACCCCCTTCTGATGATGTTTGTTGAAGGTGGGAAGAACTGCTGATTTTTGTGCTAACCGGCTAAGGAATATTACTGAAAGGAAGCCAAATGTCACATTAGTATTTATAAGTTTATAGTCTAGGGTTGAAAGATGAATCAGTTTTATATTGAAATTGCAATTTAAGAGAGTGCAGTTTTCAAATTGCAAGAGCTGCTAATTGTTTGTCATAGCCTACATTGACCTACATTCACTTAAGTTTTAAGTGGGGAAATTTAACCTAGTAACGACGCTTATGAACTGCCTGTAGACCAGTTAGACCAGTCAGAGGCAACCAAACCTACATGTGTTGTGACATCACAACCGCAACTAACAGCCAGTCTGGCAAACTACATTGAGGGATCAAGCCTTAAGTCAGAAAAAGTGGATATTCTGGTCGAAAAAAACAGGCCTGAACCTCAATTTGTTAAAAAATAATAATAATTTAAATTAAAAAGAGGAGGTGGGGGGGCAGAGTCAATGAACATTGTGTGCACCAGTGGTCATGTGACATTCACATAATGCATGCTGGGTATTGCAGAGAAATTGATGAAAACACCCAAAAAAGAATACGATGTCATGAATTCTATGAAACCACCAAAACTGAAGGATGTTGTAAAAACTCTAGTTTTAGGCCATCAGAGAAGTGTAAAATTTCTTTGAATTCATATTAGTGGTATGAAAAGAAGTCTACAGCAATAGAAGATTAAATATAGTTAATAATAAAGGTGTAGGTCTTTAACTGCACAATTATTAGATTCAATCATAATGCTTTCCGAAATTATTTAGTGTATCAAATCTCAGATTTCACCGTGATTTCGGTTTAGAGATATATTTAGAAGCGCAAAGAATACTCAGAGAACTCAGATGTAGTTGTAGGAACTATTTACACAGTAGTGGAATAATAAAGACTAAATTTTACATTGAATTTTATGTTTATTTTGAGTGCATGCCTTATTGAATATCTATGTAATGGATACTGATCATCTAAAAGTGGTGCACTTGATGAATGACCACCTACCAAGTCTCTAAATCAGGCGTGCCTATCCCTGATCAGGTGGGTCTGGAGGCCCAGCAGAGTTTGGCGATTTAGCTGCTTGAACATACCCGATCCTACTCCAGCAGTTAGTCACCAGGGTTAGTAGGTGTCTTTGAGCAGGAAACTCACCAAGCTGTGCTGTAAAATGTATGAGATAACTAAAGAAACTCATGTTCTTGTTTGTGGCTCTTACCTCTTCTCCACCTGGACCACCACGAGCGCCTTCCAGAGCAGAATTCAAAACCATGTGAGACCGGCCACATGATATGACGCCCACGGCCACGAGTAGGCACATCAGGGAAAGAGAGAGACGGATTGATGAGGAGGACATTTCTTCTGTCTGTAGCAAAGAGCTGGTGGAGATTTCAGTCTTGGCAGAGCCCCTCGGGTGCTGTTCCTCGTCTGTCTCCGCTCACCAGGCCCAGCATTTATACTGCTGCTCAAACGAAATCATTTTCGCCTGGAGAAGTTTTACAACACAGGCCCTTAAAGTAAACCATAAAGCTCTGCTGGACTTCAGTGGGTTACCAATCAAGGTTTCATCATTTTTCCATCGTCAGCCACTTTTCTAGTGGTTTCCCCAGGCGTATCTAATGGCTCATTTTCCACAACCCAAACAAAGTGTGCGGGCCACCCTAATAAACTGCTAACAGCAGTCCATCGCATTACAGTGTTGCCACGGTGACCTCTGTGCTGACCTTTCCAACTCATTAGGTATAGACGGCCCCTATGTGAGCATAATTTCTTTGTGGTTTCCCGTGTCCTAATAGGTCCTGATGTAATTTGGAATTCTATTTTTTTGTCTTATATCTATGGGACAGTGACTGTGACAGCGGTGAATGACTTCACTGGAACTAATGAGCTTTTTTAATGGCTTTATTGCTCATCTTGCTTTGTCCTCACAGCAACTCTTGGGTTGAAAGTGTTCAGGCTGTTAAATAGAATTGAATTGCAAGAAAATAATGTGGAACATGAGATATACTCAAAGGAAAAATATAATTGAATATTTTTGTTACAGGTTTTAGCAATTAAAGTTCCACTGAACACCTTTAGGTTAAGTTAGAGTGACAAAGCTCTGTTGAACGTTTTCGGGACGTGTAGGAGTGTAGAAGTTCCACCGAACGCCATTTGGATGGGCTGGAGTGATGAAACACCATTAAACAAACTTGAGGTGAGTTGGAGTGATGAAGTACCATTTAACACCTTTGGGATGAGTTGAAGTGATGAAGCAGCTTTGAGATGAGTTGGGGCAATGAATCTCCATCTAACACCTTTGGGATGAGTGAAGATCTAGTTGAGTGATGAAGCTCCATTGAACACCCTTGGGATACGTTGAAGGTTTGAATCTCCATTGAACACCTTTGGGATAAGTTGAAGGATTGAATCTCCATTGAACAGAATAGTTTGAATAGTTTGAGTCCGAGTGATGAAGCACCATTGAACACCTTTGGGATGAGTTGCAGTGATGAAGCTCCAGTGAACACCTTTGGGATGAGTTGCAGTGATGAAGCTCCAGTGAACACCTTAAAGATTAGCTGGAGTGATGAAGTTACTTTACATTTGGGATTATTTGGAGTGATGAAGCACCATCAAACATGTTTGGGATGAGTTGCAGTGATGATTAACACCTTAAGGATTAGCTGGAATGATGAAGTTACTTTACCTTTGGGATTATTTGGAGTGATGAAGCACCATCAAACATGTTTGGGATGAGTTGGAGTGATGTACCATTTAACAGCTTAGTGATTAGTTGAGAATGATGAAGTACCATTAAACATCTTGGGAATAAGTTGGAGTATTGTATCTTCATTGACCACCTTTAGGTTACGTTAGAGTAATGAAGCACAATTGAACACCTTTGGGTTGAGTTGGAGTGATAAAACATCATTAAACAAACTTTTAAGATACCTTGGAGTGATGAAGCTCCATTAAACACCTTTAGGATGAGCTGGAGTGGTGAATCTCCATTGAACATCTTGGGGAAGAGTTGGAGAGATGAAGCACTATCGAACACCTTTGGGATGAGTGAAGATCCACTTGAGTGATTAAGCTCCATCGAACACTTTTGGGATGGGTTGGAGTGATGAAACATCATTAAACAAACTTTTAAGATAACTTGGAGTGATGAAGTGCCATTTAACACCTTTGAGTGGTGTGATGGAGTGATGAACCTCCATTGAACACCTTTGGGATGAATGATGATCCAGTTGAGTGATGAAGCTTCATTGAACACTGGGATGAGTTGGAGTGATGAAGCACCATTGAATACATTCGGGATGAGTTGGAGTGATGAAGCACCAATTAACATCTTTGGGATAAGTTGGAGTGATGAAGCTCCATTGAACATCTTTGGGATGAGTTGGAGTGATGAAGCTCCATTCAGTACCTTTGGTATGAGTTGCGGTGATGAAGCTTCATTCAGTTCCTTTTGGGATGACTTTGAGTGGCGATTCAGTTTTGATGCAGACATCAGTACCTAATACTCTTGTGGCTAAAAGCAATCAAATCCTCATAGCAATATTTCAACATCTAGTGTAAAACCTTCTCAGAAGAGTAGAGGCTGTTACTGCAGCAAAGGAATACTAATTCTCTGTAAATACTCTTGATTTCAGAAGAAACGCTGGAGGAGCAGGTGTCACATGTCATCTAATAGCTTTCTGTGATGGAGTTTTTAGAGGCATTCAGACGTCACCACCACTGTGACCAATTCTGACCCTGTAAGCTTCTCTAGAGCGGAGCGTTTCACACCAAACCACTCACGGCAGTTGTCTTTAAGCATGACGGAGATGTTAGATCGAATCTGAGGAGTAGTTTGTTGTGACATTCATTGATTTGTAGAACATCATCACAACCTCTTCATATAACCATACGACCATGTGTTCAGTGAAACTTCAACCCAGACAGTATTTCTGATCCTTTTATTTGCAGAAAGAATGAAAACATTTACAGTTAAAAGATACACTTTATATCACCTGAACACCCAGACATCAGCAGAGTGGCATAAGAATGAAGAACCCAGCTCAAGGTGTCAGTTTAAACTGAGGGATACAAGATTAGCTCATGTGTCTACCTATGTGGAAATTTAGCAGATACTCCACAATGCCTTATAGCAGGGTTTCTCAACCTGTGGGCCATGAAGCACCCTCTAGCGGTCTGAGGGCCTGTACTCTGGGGAGGCAGTAGTTCGTACTGGGCCAGTAACGTCACTTTAAGTCATTAAAAGTGGAAAAATGATTAACTTTATAATTAAAAATCTAAGAATCAGACGTTTTCAAACAGCTGAAGCGGCAAAACCTGCAGGTCTCGGTCTGCTTCCAACAAACCCTGGTTCAGTTGGAAAAGCGTTCTGTGATCCAACGAGGGAATTCGTTAATAGAGCACTTTCCTTTTCATCTAGTGCAGTCAGTACAATCTGCCCGTTTCAGTGGCTGACTCTTTACAGACTCTTATCTGCCCTCATGTCGTTCCTACAACTCAAACAACAGCCTTTAAAAATAGCTAAAATCCGCGTTTGATTTCGGTTCATCGACTGATTAGCTAATGACAAAGCCTGGATATCAAGTATGATTTAATATTGTTGATTGTGACCACGCTAATCCAAAAGCACAGTGAGAGAAGTGTGGTTTGGCTATTTCAAATGAGTCACAAAAATACACAAAACTAAAGAGACATCCCGAGACCAAACAATATGAAATATTATAGCTGTCATTTTGGTTTCTGTGATTGAACCGGTCTGATCTTTTTCAGGCCCTGGTTCTCAGGTTTTCAGTGTCGGCACTTAAGCAAAGAAAAAGAAAATTGCTTTTTAATGCAGAGGTTTATTTTAGTTTTCCTGTGGGTTCGTGTGCATAAACAGGAGGGTTTTGGGGTGGAAAAGGTCGAGAACCCCTGCCTTATAGCCATATGCAAAAGTTTGAACACCCCTGATCAAATGACGTGTTGTTGACTGTATAAGTGAAGATAAGTTAACACATCCTTTACAGGGAATAAACTTAAATATGGCATTTTTCTGCTTATTTTAGTGCACAGTTTCTAAGGATTGCTGAGTTTAACATATTGGAACTGTTGCACAGGTTACATGAGCTAAAATCAGGAAATAAACTGTAACTGTGCATTAAAGGATGTGTGAAAACCAACCAAGCGTCATTTGATCAGGGGCGCCCAAACTTTTGCATACGACTTTATCTTGATACCCTAGTACTATATTAGCGGTAGCATGTATAACGCTGTTAGATCGTGTTTACTAAATGTACTCAGTCCAGCCATACAATAAATTGTGCAGTAAAAACATACCTGGGTGTGGGAAACAGATGTAAATGTAAAATATTTATTTGCATTGTTTAAATCTTGTTGGGACACAGTTACATAGAAACTTAGAAGTGGAGACGGGAAACATCAGGCAGAAGAGTTTAATCAGGTGCTGGAATGAGCAAAGCACACATGGCACGCTTCTCTACAGAATTCATGTTAACTTTAAATGCAGAATGTCCTGCTTATAAAGTCAAAATGTAACACACCAAAAATATCTCAGCAGCTTGCAGGCTGGTTTTAAGTGTGCAGGTTTCATGCTTTCATGCAGACACGACAGCGACTGATGACCCTCGTCACTGCAGGGCCTTTCACGGTTTCGGGCACGGGCTTACTGTGAGAGAACACCCAGACAGAAACAGACATTTAACATTTAATAAAATAAGTAGAAAATAAATCAGTTCATTATTTAATTATGCCACACATTTCCATTCAATCGAACAGTAGCGTAAGCATATATACACCGATCAGGCCTAACATTATGACCACCTCCTTGTTTCTACGCCCGTTGTCCATTTTATCAGCTCCACTTACTATATAGGTGCACTTTGTAGTTCTACAGTTACAGACTGTAGTCCATCTGTTTCTCTGCATACTTTGTTAGCCCCCTTTTACCCTGTTCTTCAGTGACAGGACCCCCATGGACCCTCACAGAGCAGGTACTATTTGGGTGGTGGATCATTCTCAGCGCCGCAGTAACACAGATGTGGTGGTGGTGTGAAACAGATGGACTACAGTCTGTGATTGTAGAACTACAAAGTGCACCTATATAGTAAGTGGAGCTGATAAAATGGACAATGAGAGCAGAAACAAGGAGGAGGTCATAATGTTATGCCTGATCGGTGTATAATATGTTATATAATCACACTGCTAAACATTGCTTTATAAGGACCTGTGGAGTTCCTGATTATCATTCAAGTTGCAAACAAATCACTAAAATTTTAATCCATTCATTTCGTTAAGCCAGTAACCATGATAGCCATACAATAAAGATACATTCACTAGATTCACTAGAAAGAGGCCCCGAATTTTCTGTAATAACTCTCGCTAGGATGAAGCAATCTGAACGAAACAACATGCAACATGCTCCTCAGTATATGGAGCTTCTAACAAGCTGGGAGGCGCCTGTGTCGGAGCGATGAGGTAGGCGCCGGACAGCCGCCACAACGTTTAACCTCCCTTTGCAACTTCCGGGTGCAGAACCCGTACCCCTTCGTGTGTCTGGCAGAAAATTGAGATCACTTCCAGCATCGCATGTAATGCAGTCGATTACACACACGTCAAGGTATGTAGTGTATTGTTTTGGTTCAGATTGCTTCATCCTAACGGGAGTTACAACAGAATATTTGGGGCCTCTTTCGAGTGAATCTCCCTATATTATTGCCAACTGTTTGGTTATAGTTCAGCACGAACCATGTTTTCAGGAGAACCGAATGAGCTCACCTGAACATCCGTTCTGCATCGAGGGAGGCCAGCCAGTAACTGTAGGAGTCTGGGTAGTAGTTACATGTTCCACGGCCGTGACACTCGATGAAGGGAACCTGTCGGAAGTGCTCTAAGCAGGAACCAGGAGAGATCAGGGGCTGCCCAGAGCCCTGAGCACCTGCACCAGTTTGCTGAAATATAGAGGATTTTGAATTGAACATGCTTCCCTGATGGGAAAAACTCAGAGTGGCAGCCCATCACAACAGCAAACACATTCAAAGATGAGGAATACGTGTGTATGTCCTTCCGTCTTCTGTAAAGTTTACTAAAATTAATTTCATTTAAGCTTTAATTTAATCAGACAGTCATCAAGACTGTGTTCTTCTTTACTATGGTGGCCTGGCAAACAGCAGAAGCTACTGGAGGGGCAGAATCTACTTGAGGGGTCTACTTGAGTCAACACTAGTGAGAAAGAAATGATATACAATATAAAATAGCAACATTATGCATTTGAAGATCAGTAAAGGAAAACCAATGATTGCTATTTTATTTTTATTATTAATATTTTTAAAGTGCATTAAGCCAATTTTAGACTAATAAATATCAAAATGCATTTCTCTCTTAATCCATGAATTGGTGCCGCTTCTCTCTGGTCAGACCAAGGTTTCTGTCAGAGGTGTGGTCACTGGTCATTGGTCAATGGTTATTAGTACAAGTGTAAATACACATGCATATATTTAACAGTAGAATTGTATAGGACTCTTATTGTGGTTGCATTAAAGAAGACAGAATTCTGACATATGCTGTACATATTTCATTAATATTTCGGTCTAAATTAGAATATTAGCCAAGTTAGTCGTGGCTAAATTAGTGGCAGTGTGTGGTATTCATGCTGCGTCAGCTTTTCTATGAATAGTTTTATTTAATGCAGCTCTTTATTTTTGCTTTTACCAATGTAATCATCAGTCTGAGCTGATTTCATCTAGCTTATGTTAGGTAACCAGCCCCAGTGTGTGGTGGGTGATGCAAATCTGTAAGCAGATGAAAATATGAATACTATATTATTATTATTATCATCATCATCATTATTATTATTATCATAATAATAAAAAAAAGTGCAGGCCAGATTTGAGGATAAATTGTAAGCATATAACGAGCCATATGACGATGCCCCCTACATCCCCCTTCACCAGTATGCTGGTAGTTTGAGACCCCTGATATAGACAATCCATGTAGATAATCCATGTTTTCTTCTCTTATGATGGTCTCAGTAAATAGCTGTAAAAGTTGAATCAGGAGACGTTAGAGATGTGGAAGGCGTACGTGTCCTGAATGGTGGCACTGTCCCATATTAATGAACAGCTGTGTACTGTAAACTTTTCCATATTATAAATCCTCCTGTATCTCCTACATAATATACACTATTGATAAGAAAGCCTGGCTCGTACCATAGCAAAGGAGTAGCCCGTCCAGAGTGAAAGCCAGCCTTGGGGACACTGAGGTGTCTGTGTGGTTTGGCTGTGGATGGCGATGGTGTTGGTTGAGCTCTCACACACTGAACACCTGGCAAACAAATAAAACATAACTCAGTATTGTGATGGACTGACCTGAAGGTGGTGATACAAATACACTGACTTTGAAATATTATAGTTATAATAAATGTTATATGGTGGCCTCTTGTTCCTGTTCCTCCTTAAGTGGTGCAGCAGTTACGTTTTGGTGCCTCAGGCACCATTTAAGGTGGAACGGGAAAATTCTAACAAGAAGCTGGCGAATGAGAAGCGACTTCAGCCTCATATAAAGTCGAACGTTGAGAGACAAGAAACTGTTCTACTTTTAAGGAAAAGTTTCCTGCCAGAGATGTGAGAAAAGCAGTTATAGCTGAGCTAAAGCTTAAAGCAGAGCAAAATAAGTCTGAGTTTTCGTTTATATTATATTTTTTTAGTCTATACTAGGACATCAGCACATACTGAGACATATTTTCAGCCAAGATGGTAAAACATTACTTCAATAAAATGGACATACAATGCTGAGGCTCCCAAGAGGGTTTAGTTTTTGTTGAAAGGACAAAACGGCTCTTAACATTTGGGTTGCCGACCCCTGGGCTAAAGTGTGGGTTCATTTTTGGCCAAAACAAATATCATGCACGATTTTCAAATGTAAAAACCCAACAAATGGCTTGATGTGGTTGTCACTTATTTTCTTCACAGTAGTTTTAAAATGCAATGTTCTACCTATTTTGGAGATCCGACAACTGAAATGCATTTTTTCTTTGGTAACATTGATAGAATAAATTTCAGTGTGGAGTGTGAATACTTTTCATAGCGGGGGGGGTCTCACCCTTCCCCTTTCACCCCTCATTACTCACTAGCAGCTTAACACAGAGTCACAACAGTGTCCTAGTTGTCCAAAGTTACCAGGAAAAACATTTTATTTGATTATATTAAGTAGAAATATCAATTTCCACTAGGGGACCTGCAGAAAGAGGCCACAACACAACTGATTCCAAAGAAACAGAATCGAATCATGGTGAAATTTGAGATTTCATGATGTATTTTTACAACTATCTTTTCCAAAAGTATCACAATTGAACAAAATCTTTATGAGGTCACCCTAAATCTCCAGTAATGTGCTTCGTAATGATGCACCTGCTGATGTATTTGGCCAGAACGTCCCCCCTGATTGGACCCATGTTCATGGGCATGGGCTCCTCGGTGCTCAGCCAGTAGGAATAGTCGTTACGGGAGGCGTAGCGGCAGGTGTCCTCTGTGTCGCAGAAGAGGAAGGGCATGGTGGAGAAGCGAGGCAGGCAGCTCCCCAGAGTACCTGAGCAAAACAACATCAGACAGTGACACCATGTTCACAGACTGACAGCTTTGCTTTAGGTGCCTTCTACAGACAAGAAGGGGAAAGAATGACGAAGGAGGATGGAGTAGGTTTAACCCTTAGATATCTAGACTCAAGCAGGGGACTTCTGCTTCTGTTGTTTTGCTGTCTGAGCAGTGGTGGACAGTAACTAAGTAAATGTAATTCGTTACTGTACTTAAGTAGTTTTTTGTGTATCTGTACTTTACTGAAGTATTTCCATTTTGGGCGACTTCTTACTTTCACTCCACTACATTTCAAAGACAAATATCTTACTTTTTACTCCACTACAAAACGAAAGACTCCATGTCAAAACAAAAGAAGCGAAAAGTAAGAACACCAATCAGGGCACAGCGCGCACTTAGTTTTGAGCTTGTTTTGACCTGTTGGACATACCGACCCCGTGCAGCACACAGTTCAACATCAGTGCAGCAGCGTAAAATTGTGGGAGTGTCTATTCAACATAAATGATGAACTAACCTAACTTTGTGTAAATAGACCACAATATAGAAATATGTACACATATGCAGTTGTGACTGACGTGTCTTTTTTCTGAATTTATACAAACACTTTCATTTTATACTAAATTTGTTTTGGCTAGTTTATGTTTATGAACAGAGACCTACAGATGCAGTTTAGTAAAGGAACTTAAACTTGTAACTAAGTTGCAAATAAACCTTAAACTGAAACTTTGCTTGTTTGCAGAAAGTTATTTCAGAGCCACTCAGTTCTGCCTAATGGAAACTGTTTGCCTTCAGTGTTTTGTGCTTATAATAATTTTAATAGACATCAGCATCACTAATTAATGACATTCTATTACAAGACTGGTTTACCAAGAGTGACACTGGAGTATTTTCACCTAAAATGAGTTGATGAAGCGAGTCTTGTTATAAAAATGATAATAGGACATCAGAGTCATAATTAATCTTTTAGTACTTTTACTTTTGATACTTAAGTACATCTGAAGGCAAATACTTTTGTACTTTTACTCAAGTGGAGGTCTAAAGGGAGGAACTTCTACTTTTACTGGAGTAATATTTTACCTTGGGTATCTCTACTTTAACTCAAGTACATGATTTGTGTGCTTCGTCCACCACTGATTCTGAGTATCAGTGTTGTGTTTTCAGCTTGTATCAAAACTGTAGTTTTTGAGTGCTGTATCTCGGGATGAACAATGATTCCAAATCCCTTGTCTAACATCCCATGTAGAAACCATGAAATAGATCCACACGCCTTTTTTTTCCCACTGTTTATTTGTCAAAAACCGATTATTTTCAGATTAAATGTTTGCTGCCACTTTTCAGGACTCTCAGAAAGAGAGAGATGTCCAGAAGAGGCCTGCAGCCTTTCTAAATAAAAAGCGCTCACATACATTTTTGTGACCAATAAATCAAAATTTACATGACAGCTGTTTTTTGCATCATTACATAAAGCATTTTTACTGCAGTTTGATGGAAACAAGCTTTTCCATTTAATTGCCAGTTTGCAAAGAAAGTCAGTGGAAGCGTAGCTACTGTGGAACACATGACTGCTGGAACTGGACCTGTTTATATGTGGATGGTGTGTGTGTGTTACCTAGATCCTGTCCATTAGCTTGCTCATTCCCACTGATGAAGAGCAGGGAGTATCCTGAGTAGATAAGCGTGGTGCCCCTTGGGCAGGTGGGCACCAGGATGCTCTGGCTGTGTCTGGTCAGCAGGAAGCTGTCAAGAGATCCTTCAACTACTTCTCCTGGAGGTCCATGAATGCCCTTAGGCCCTTGCTGCCCGACACCACCAACCGGCCCTAAAAACAGTTTAAATAGTTACCATCCTGTTAACATTCACATTCAATTACGTTTACAAGATTTATGAAGTTTGAAGGCTGTGGGTGTACCAGAATTCCCAGGTACTCCTTTATCTCCTTTCCGTCCAGGAAAACCTGGAAAACCAGGAACAGACCTCCCTGGAAAGCCTTTGGGACCTTGAACACCTGTTAAACATACAAATAAACAGGCCACACAACTCAACACACAAAAGTATTTGCTTTTGTGTTGCTACACTATTTAAATACAACTACATAATTGCATAATTCATTAAACTTTTACATGAATTACATGTTCATTTAATGTACATATGTGAAAAGAAATGATAAACATTTGGCAAAGACATAAAGGATGGGATTCATTATGTAACACAAGTTGCACAGTAATAACGTCTCAACTAATTCAAATTCAAATCTTAATGAAATTTCTGCTCTTCTACGCACAAAAATACATGTAGTTTGGATTAAAAGTTCAGAATAATTCATATCAAATTACGCAATGCTTTTGTTTTTGCTCACGATACCTGCAACTTCCGTTTGTTAATCCGAGAACTGATGTAGTCAGAAATATGAAAAGTTGTCACCACACCTGCAGGCCCTGATGGTCCAGGTGGTCCAATATATCCAGGTAAGCCTCGGATTCCAGGGCTTCCATCTGGCCCCCGGTCCCCGGGCACGCTCACGTAGGGCTGTGGAAGGCTAGGTCCCTCTGCACCTAAAGGAGACCACAAAACAAAAACACTAGGATGCCAGACTGTATGTACTGTAACATAATATGGCTGGAACAAAATGGAAACTATTAATCTACAGTACTGTGCAAAAGTCCTTTCATTGGTTTAATTTACAGTCAAAACAGCCATTATATATATATATATATATATATATATATATATTAGGGGTGCAGGAAAAACTCGATTCTTAGATGCATCGCGATGCGGACGTGAACGATTCTGAATCGATTCATTCAACGTCAAAAATCGATTTTCTAAATATTTAATTTATAACGTAATGTTGACGGAACGCAAAAGGCTGAACTGGAAGTGGGAAAGTGCAGCGCCCGGGCAGTCTGTGGCAGCACATAACAAAAACACTACTGGAGGAGCGAGAAATTCAACCGGCTCCCTCTGCATTAAAGCCAGGTTAGGTCAGGAGTCACAACACAAATGTTAAGAAGAGCCATTTTGCCTTTCAACGAAGTCAAACCACCTTGGGAGCCACAACATTTAATGTCCAGTATGTGTTAATGTCCTAGTATGGGCTAAAAATATAAACGAGAGCGCAGATTTACTTCGCTCTGCTTTAAGCTTTAGCTTTAGCCGCTTTCCTCCCATCTCTGCCAGAAAACCTCAAAACTAGAAGAGTTTCTTGTAAAATGTCTCAGCATGCGGCTGTTTTACGAGGCTGAAGTCGCTTCTCATTCGCCAGTTTCTCGTTCTAATTTTCCTGTTCCACCTTAAATTCTGCCCCCACTCAAATTCTGCCCCCACTCTCTACAACGAGACCAAAAGGGTGGCTGTAACGCGCTGCGTGGACACCCATTGCCACTGGGTCTTATTTCAGGGCAACAGCGCATTTTATCGCAGATGAGTGGCAGCAGCGTCTCTGAATGAGAGCCTTCTAGTTCACTTGCCACATCACTTCCATTTGATTTATTAATTAAAGATATTTTAGATATTTAAAGCAAAGTATTTGTAATGATCCGTAATGCATTTACATTATGGATCATTACAAATACTTTGCTTTAAAACTACCAAGTCCTCAGACAGTAGGAAGATAGAAATCATGTATAGAGAAAAAAGATGCATCGATAATCGTTTTATAATCGCATCGCAGCCCTCTGAATCGTAATTGAATCGAATCGTGAGGTGCCTAAAGATTCCCACCCCTAATATATATATATATATATATATATATATATATATATATATATATACACCATGTAAAATGTAAAATACATCTGGTAAATGGTAAATGATAATAAAAGAAGTTACTCCACTCAGTTATCAAGTTTGACAGTTTGTGATCTGACAAAATGTTGCTGTTTGTGGGTGTTAACCTGGTGGTCCAGGGGGTCCTTTAGGTCCAGGTAAACCCTTGTGGCCAGGGTTATAGTTCGGGTCTCCAGTCTCACCTCATCATAAGACAAAACACAAACATAAACACAAACAAGCTGCTTCTTTATCCTCGACATATCAACATATCACCATTTCATCAAGATGCCTGAAAATTGCTGAATGTCTCCACATTAAAACAACCAAACTGTAAATGAACCTTTAAAACCTATGAAACTATGACCCAGCACCAACAACTGTGTGTAACTGATGGGAGTTTCAAGAACATTCTCCCCCATTCACACTGTTCTAGAGTGTTGTCCACATTCACACTGTTCTACAATGTTCTACACATTCACAATGTTCTAGGATGTTCTCCACACTCACAGTGTTCTACAATGTTCTTCCTTATTCACTCCACAGCCACGCTCTTCCACAACATTCTACCATTCACACTGTTCTAGAACATCTTCTCTGCAATCACATCATTCTAGAATGTTCTACAACGTCCTCCGCACTCACAGTGTTCAAGAATGCAGTGCCACATCACAATATTCTCGAATTTTCTCCTTCATTTACACTGTGAATGCACTCGAATGCTGGGTGACAGACGAAGTATGTTTGGTCAGCGTATTCCAGCCTTTAGAAGGAGCTTTACCAATATAGAAGGTTTTAGTATGTGAGTTATGTAACAGCAGTTGCTCACCTTGTAACCCAGGAAGTCCAGGTGGCCCAGGGTTCCCTCGCACCCCAGGACTGCCCCGTCCACCAACAGGTCCCTGTGCAAAGTTAGACATGGTAAAATGAGAATCAGGTACTGTGAGCATCACTAGTTTCCTTTAAGAAAAGGGAAGCAACCCACATACACAAAGAATCGAATCTGAGCTGATCAGATCTGAAAACATCCCCAGGTGTTTCTGTCCATCCTTCCACTGTGAGAGGACGACTCAGCGTCAACAAGCTGGCAAGAATCAAGCTAGCAAGACGAAAATGTGCACTAGAACACTTAAACTAGACATTTGAGATGTGGAGTGAAGTTTTATGGACTAAATAATCCAAATTTGTAGTTGGGAATACTTGAATCATAAGAAGCAGAAAATGCAACCAACTTCTAAGACTGAAATGTGGAGATGTGGAAAAATATGCCTGCAGACTTCTTTGAAAAACTGAAAGAGAATCTCCAGAAAACAACAGAAGCAAAAGTGGCCACATTAAATACAGAAAAATGTATATATTATATTTAATTGTTGAGGCTTCTGTATAATTTTATTGAACATTTTTATGTATCTGCTTTTTCCCTCATGCAAAAAATTAACAACTTGTATTTAATGGTTGTTTGGACCGGAAATTAAATAAATGAAAGGCGGTCTTTGGGATAGTACTGTGCCTTGGTCGTCTGATACTCAATGGGCAAAAAACTGGTGTCCTTCACACACTTTTCGATAATCTCTCCCAACTGAACACAATTCTGCAGTATGGAATTAAAAACAAAACAGAGAACTCATATCAGCCCTATTTTGAAAGAACTACACTGACTGTATCAATATATGTATTATATATCGAGACAGGTTTTAAAGTTCTGCTCCAAGTTTTTAAGGCTCTAAATGACCTTAAAGCACCGCTTACATCACTGAGTGTCTGTCTGTTTATGTTCCAGCACGAGATCTTAGATCTGCAGATACTGACCTTCTGAACACCTTCTGTAAAATACAGAAAACATGGAGAGGCTCGTTCAGTTATTCTGCTTCTAAACTGTGGAGCTCAGTTCACCTTTTATTAGACAGTCAAACTCAGTGCTCACTGTTAAGAAACATTTTAAAACGCATCTCTTTAATTTAGCATTATTTAACATTCTATGTCTCTTTGGTATTTATCTTTTTTATTTGATCTGTGTCACTTTGTTATATGATTTTAAATTAATATTCATAATTTCTTCTATTACTGCTAAGCTTTATCACCTGTATGTAATACATAGCACTTTGAGCTGCCACTGGTATGAAAACTGTTCTATATATAAATGTATTATTATTATTATTATTATTACTATTATTATTATTATTATTATTATTATTATTAACTGTCCACTCTGATTGACCTAAACTCTGTAGAATAGAGCTGACCAGTACAGACTCAGCCAGTCTGAGAACTGGGGCTAAAATCTGGGTAAAAATCATTCAAGAACAATTTACCTGATCCCCCAAGGTTCCGTGGTCTCCCCTACCTCCAATACGACCTGGAGGACCTGGCAGCCCCCTGTCCCCTTTGTCTCCTTTGTATCCTGGCAGAGGTGGCCCTAGAGGGCCCCTGGAGCCCTGTGGCCCTGTGAATAAAATGTAAATTACATTTATGTTTTGGTAACTTGTACATTGAAAAAAACAATTCATTGTATTTACATAATTAAAATGTGTCTTTGGTTTGCCCACAAATACATTACGTCAGTGAGCTTGCTGACCTTCAGCTTATGTGCTTTGGCAAGAATCGTGCTGAATCAACACATTTTGCGTACTGCGTGGCAAGCTAAACAAACTGAGGTCCTAGAAGGACATTATTTTGTTCCACTGTAATCTTTTACATAGATGGGATGAGAACAAGTTCTTCTTGGCTCTTGACTTGACCTCCTCACCTGGATCTCCAGGTCTGCCTAGAAGTCCAGGTTCTCCTTTCCTCCCACTGAAACATTCTCCTGCAGCACCAGGGTAACCACGTATACCAGGAGGTCCTGGAAGCCCAGAGTATCCTTTACTTCCCGCAGTTCCATAACCTGGAGTACCAGGAAGTCCAGGAAGTCCCTGATCTCCTTTAGGACCTGATGATGTGATACAGTACAAATAAACCTAGTATTCTGACATCACAGACAGAAGCACATTCCACTGAAGCCACTGCTGATGACAAAGTGTTGTAATTTGATGTTAAGTATGTCTCAAACTCACTAAAGCATAGAAACTCTATTACTACTAGTTTCTAGTACAGCAAAATAAAAGTAACAATCTCAGCCTCTACAGGTTAATACATGTAACAAGAATCCAAGAACAGAATAAAGGCAAATTCTTTATTTCTAAATGTCGGTATAATAAAATGATTAAGGTATAAACACTGTCATTCAGAGTGGTCTTATGGAAATGTTCTATTCCAAAGACACTCACCAAGTCATAACCGTTCACAGTGGTGGTGATAGGAACCAGACGTCTGAAGCATTTAATGCCTCTAAAAGCTCCCTGACAGAAACTTATTACATTAAATAATTACAAACATGCTCCCGCATCCGTAGACATTGATTTATTATAGCTTTGAGATGTTTAAAACACATGGAAAACAAATAAAAAAATCATGGTGAAGACATACATGCAGGGCGCTGTAAGGCAAACCAGTCTTTAAAACTATTTTTTTCAGATTTATGACTATTTTACCTTCATCAAAGTTACATATGAAAACTCAGAAGACACCTGAAGGTTCGCTGGTGGTTTTGGATAGTAAATAAAATGGCTATATTTGTGTTGTAGTCATGGTGACTCCTGGTTCCTATCACCACCACTGTAAAGACATCTGAGTCAGTAAGTTTCTCTACAGTGAATTATTTCACATCAGACCTCTCTGAATGAAGTTGTTTACATCTCAAACACTGAATAATGGAGAAATTTTGGAAAATCACCTCGATAATGCCATCACCGACAAAACTCATGAAATAATCATCAAATAATTATTTCTTCGTGATTTAACATCAGTGGACGTCGGATGTTTAATGTGACGTGTTCGAGCACTGTCAGAAATTTTCATAATGTGGTCTCATAATGTGACTGCCGTATGTCACATATCTAAAAGTCAACCAAAAGGGAGCTTACTTTATATTTTAGCTCACATACATTAACCTGGACCAGCCTTCAGGTCACTTACACAGTGACCCACCTAGAAAAGGCAATGACTGTGTAATGGACAGACAAATCTGGAGAATAGACCACGAACTCTGCTTTATAGCTGTTTAATATGTTTTTCTTCAGACAAAACTTTCAATATTTTGTCAAGTGCTTTTTAGATGTGAAGCACCTCATGGAACTGATTTGTAACTCACTCAGTCACTCACATTTAGCAGGCTAAAGACTTTCCACAGGGGGCGCCATTAGCACATAAATAGCTTTTTATATTGTTATGACACTTGAGCCACAATATAATATAATTCAAAACCAATTTTTAAAGATGTGTGCTAAGGGAAGTATTATATGATATTTTGCAATATATTGTGATCGGTTACTTTCAATCGTAAATTATATAAATTACATGGAAGGATTTAATATGTATGATTATTATTATATTAACTATTAAATACAAAATAAAATATGGATTCCTGGGCCTCCAAAGATCAATACTATTTCTAAAAACAAAATATTGTGATAGTATGTTGTATCAATCTTTTGTCTATTAGCTGAGAGTACTCTATACTAGCTGCAGATCTACTGTAACGTCTATTTTCCATTGTAAAAATGCAGTTAGTCACCTGGGTGTCCCTTGTCTCCTTTTCTGCCTGGAAAACCCCCTATAATCACTGAAAAGAATGTAACACAGGCTTATAACAGAGGCTCATAAGAAATACATTACACTGTAAACATCTTGAAACTTTTAGTAATTTCCATATAACTCACTCACTGCAAGGCCAGTGCAGATATTCAGCAGGTTTAACCAGTTAATAATATTAACAATAGCAATAAAAGCAGGCTTCTACCTGTGTCTCCCTTTGCTCCCGGTGGTCCAGGAATGCCATCCCTCCCTTGGTTGCCTTTCTCACCTACAGGTCCTTGAAAACCAGGAGGACCAGGAGGCCCTGAGGCAGGAAGCAGAGTTCATATCTCTCATTCAAATTTCCATACTGATAGAAGGTTGATTGACATTCTACATTTTCTTTTCTTTTCCCATCAACCATTGTGTGGTTTTACAAACCAAGAGCAATTATTAGAATTAAACAGGCTGTTTTTGTTACTGTGCCTTTAAGATCAATATATGTTAAATGACCTCTGATTGGCTGCCCTGTTCAAAAAGGCTGAAAATGCAGCGGTAAAAAAAAATTCTGCAGCTTCATTCAGATTTGTGATGCTTTGGAAGGCTGTAATGAGCCATTTGCGGTCTGCAGGAACAACACTCCACATCACTTTAGCAAGAATGGGGGTCATATTAATGTGCTCATGGTTGTGACATCACAACCACTACAAACTCCAATTGGACTGTTTTTGCAGTTTCTATATAAGGTCAAGAGTGAACTGTACTGTGTGTCTATATTAATTAAACTCTTTCAAACTGCAAGCAGATATATGTTTTCCATTATGTGACCCCTTTAAAATGCCCAAAATACCTTTTAGCTGGACGAAAGTGTGTCAGCTGCAAAAGGCCAGCTTCAGGAAATTGATTTAAGTGGTATATACAGATTACTAAAAGTTAAGCTGCCCTCCTAAAGCATATAAAAAAATACCCTGTGGTCCTTGTAACCCTGTAAGTCCAGGAGGCCCAGGGGGACCAAAAGAGCCTGGTGGACCAGGTGGGCCTGGGGGTCCTGAGACAGAAATATAAGAGAAATAAGGGAAGATAGAAGGTGAATCATACGAAGTACAGTTATCCTAACAAAATATGCACTACAAATATCCACTACAACTAAATCAATTCACCTTGAAATCCAGGGGCTCCGATGTCTCCTGTAGGTCCTCTTGGGCCATAGTTACCTGGTTGACCAGGAGGTCCAGGATTTCCCTTCTCTCCTTTATGTGCCATACTACCTTTAATTCCGGGTTCTCCCTGTAACGACAGAAAAACACATGCACTCTCTAAACTACTACTGTAATGAGCTGTAGAACATGTGTTGAATAGTGGTCCGCAAATAAGTGAATGCAGGCCCATTATGTATGCCTTTTACATCCTACATATAAAGAAATCTGATATATGGCCATATATCCACATGTATCATAAAGGGTTGGGCACATAATTCCAAATATATAGTCATATATGTAATGTAAATACACTCTCCACACACTTTATTAGGAACACCTTCTTGTTATTGCACTCATTGTCCATTTTATCAGCTCCACTGACCGTATAGGAGCACTTCATATTTCTACAATTACAGGCTGTAGTCCGTCTGTTTCTCTGCATACTTTGTTACCCTGTTCTTCAGTGGTCAGGACCCCCATGGACCCTCACAGAGCAGGTACTATTTGGGTGGTGGATCATTCTCAGTGCTGCAGTAACACTGACGTGGTGGTGGTGTGTTAGTGTGTGTTGCGCTGGTCTGAATGGATCAGACACAGCAGTGCTGCTGGAGTTTTTAAACACTGTGTCCACTCACTGTCCACTCTATTAGACACTCCCACCTTGTCAGTCCACCTTGCAGATGTAAAGTCAGAGACGATAGCTCATCTGCTGCTGCACAGTTTGTGTTGGTCATCCTCTAGTCCTTCATCAGTGGTCACAGGACGCTGCCCACAGGACGCTGTTGGCTGGATATTTTTGGTTGGTGGACTATTCTCAGTCCAGCAGCGACACTGAGGTGTTTAAAAACTCCAGCAGCACTGCTGTGTCTGTGCCTATAATATGATAAAAACCCCTTTCCCTACCAGACAATGACAAGCTTGAGTTTGTGCCTGCTGCAAAAATGTGGACCAAAGTTATAGAAAATATGTTGTACCGTTTGCCCTCTTTGGCCAGGGGGACCCAGAGCACCTGGACCTCGATCTCCTTTAACTCCCTTCACTCCTGGTGCACCAGGTTCTCCTGAAGGCCCTGGGATTCCAGGAAAACCTGGCTCTCCCTTACTCCCCTGAGAACCCTTATCAAAGAAGATATGCCACCAGTTAAATACAGTGAATGTTAATGGACCCTGTAAAAATGTGTAATTGATTTTATTTGTTTTATTCAACAATACAATACATAAATACAATACTCAATATTTAAAGTTTATAAGGAAGTTACTAAATTATTAATAATAAATGGTAATAATCTATTTACAGTATTATCTTTCATCTGCCTAAAGATTTGATCATCACTTTTCAAATGCGAGGCAGAAAACTTTTTTTTATTATAATTTTAATTGTTTTAGAATTCTCCACAGCTCTTTTCATAATTTCATTTTCTACAGCGTCCAATAATTATTCGAAATCTATTTATGACAACCAGCATCATATCAGAATCATTTTATATGCATCTCCAACAAAATTGTTTTTATATTCATGAAAATAGTTACCATCAACTTTTGAACAGTACTGTATGTGTGTGTATGTGTTACTGTGCTTGTAAAAGACTCTAACCTGGGAAGCCTATGTGTCCAGGATCTCCTCTAGGTCCAGCTGAGCCTGGTGCACCAGGAACATAGCTGTCCTCACCTCTATCACCAACAGGGCCTGGGAAACAAGCACTCACAACTGATGACCTCAGAGAAACCAAGAGTTTTGAACAGTAGCATGATGTTCCCTCGCATATAAAGCACAGAAACATGCACACCTTGTCGTCCAGGCTGCCCAGGTATCCCATCTGTTCCATCAGCTCCTCTAGATCCTATAGGTCCTGGATCTCCTCTTTCACCATGTAAACCATCTGGGCCTATTAAAGGTCAATACAAAATAGCTTTTTACAATCAAGGACGTTCTGAGAACAGACAGACTTGCTTCTAGTAAAGAAATACTATCAAACAAGCAGCACATGATTGAAATGTATCTAAAAATGTATCTGTATTTATTTTTTCTATCCATTTTCCCCTAATTTAACCGTGGCCAACTCCAGCCCCTAGCTAGATGCTTCCAAGCTCAGAGGGTAAAGGCTAGCACAAGTTTCCTTTCAAGACACAAGAAAGTCCACCACATCTTTTCAAACTGCTGCAAATACAACTTCATTGGACAGCTTAGCAGGCTTGGAGAAGACCATGAGCATCGATAAGGAGTTTTATAGAGGTGTTCAGTGGGTGAGGTCACAGCTTTGTGCAGACTACTGGAGTCCCTCCACACCAAACCCGTCAAACCATGTCTTATTGCATCTCGCTTTGCGCACAGGGGCTCAGTCATGCTGGAACAAAAAAGGGTCTTCCCCAAACTGTTGCCGCAAAATTGGAAGCATATAATTGGGTAAAATGACTTTGAATGCTGTAGCAATAACATCACCCTTCACTGGATTTAAGGGGCCCAAACTCTGAAAAACAGCCCCAGCCCATTATCCCCCCTCCACCAAACTTTACTGTTAGTACTACGCATTCTGGTAGGTAGCCTTCCCCCGGCATCCGCCATTCCCAGCTTCGTGGCTGAGTTGTTGATCCATTCTTCTGCCAGTGTTTGTCTAAGGAGATTGCATGGCTATGTACTTGATTTTATACACCTATTAGCAATGGATGTGGCTGAAACACCTGAACTCAATAATTAAGAGTGGTGTCCACACACTTTTGGCCATATTGTGCATTTCAACACTACTATGTTAATAACGAAAAATTTTTTCAAGTAATTTTTTAGTATTTCTAACAGTCCATTCACCATTATTAGTCAGAGACAAACTCCAAGATATAAGCAGTGGATTGTCAGAAGAGATGTTTAAGTGTTGGCCTGATCATCAGGAGATAACCTGGAAACCCAGAGATAAAGAGAATAATCTCTTTCTGGGAACGTAGGATGGTCCTCCCTCTCCCCATCACTGAACGCAATGCTAGCCGACATGGACGTCTCTTAGCTGACATGACGGAATTTTCAGTTAGTCTTCTCCAAGTTGTGTTGTCCCATAATTTTACATTACCAGCATTTTGAAAAGGTGAGGCGGAGCTTAACGTGCCTCAGAAGAAGCAGATGTCTGTCTTTACCCTCCTAGTTTTGTAGCATTGCGTGATAGGGGTACTAGTAGGTGGAACTGGACATGAATAAATTGGGGAAACAACTGGGCAAAATATAACATCTCCTTGTAGAATGGAACACAAATACTACTTAACCTGGTGGTCCAGGATCTCCTGGAGGTCCAGGTTCATTTCCTGAAGGACCTGGCAGCCCACTTTCTCCAGCATCTCCAGGAACACCATGGGGACCTCTTGGACCTTTCACTCCAGCCACACCCTGAAATCCTGTCACAAACAAATTAAACTCTAAAAGGTGTTTGTATTTAAAGAATGCTATCACTAGAGGTGTGGACTCGAGTCACGAATTTGATGACTTTAGACTCGAGAAAATCGTGAAAGACTTGAGACTCGACTTTGACTTCAACACCAGTGACTCGGACTCTGACTTGGTCTTTGAAGACTCAAAGTGGAAGAAACATGGAGAGTCTGACCCGATTTTTCACAGTCGATTATTTTTCATGTGAATGAATTCGTTTCCTGCCGTAAATTGAGTAAACAGCAACGTCGTCAAATGTCTTTTCCTCTGCTTACTCAAAGATTAGGACTATTGACTTGGGACTCGACTCAAGACTTGCCTATATTGACTCGGGACTTGAAACGAGGCTTGACTATCTTGACTTGGAACCTGACTCGGGACTTGAGTGTGAAGACTTGAGACCTACTTGTTACTTGCAACTTAGTGACATGTTCCCACCTCTGGCTATCACTAATACCCATGGATCACAAGGAAACAGTGGCTGTAGAATAATGGAGCAGCTACTTTCCCTCCTCTGTCCAAAATTCTGTTTATCAAAGGCACCGTAAGGTTAATTCATGTTGACTTTTTCAAACTTTAACCACCACCATCCAGTGCTTCACACTGATAAAAATGCCTTTAAAATGTTCTAAAACCAGACAATACATATCAACCAAATTGCTTTTAAAACATTGTAAGGCTCACAGGTCTCATTGGATAATTGTTCAATACAACAAGTGTGTGTATGGCCATTTGTATTAGTGCCTGACCTTTAGGTCCAGGGGGTCCAGGTGGTCCACTGGCACCACGTGGGCCACTAGATGATGTCCCTGGTAATCCTGGATCTCCAGGGGGTCCTGGAAAAATAAAACAGAAAATCACAATCTCAAGACAAGTTCTGTCAAAAATGAAAGTATTTAGTGTTTTGTTTAAAGTATGCAATTGCATGTTCCACTGGGCATAACCTGGCGTTCCAGGACGTCCAGGTGACCCTTTGAAACCCTGTCCTCCAGGAATCCCAGGTGGTCCCTGCACTGAAGCTCCAGGTGGTCCAGGATATCCAGCAGGACCAGGCAGAGCGAAACCTGGGACACCAGGACTCCCCTGAATGCCTTTCAGTCCACTTGGTCCTGAAAATTGTGATAAACATCATTCTGTAATTTAACTAATTACCGTCGAGATCTGTGATTTAAATCCAGTATAAATCTGCAGTGTGTGAGGTTTTTACAGTCTGACAGTAATAAATGTGGAGTGATTTTAATCCAGAATGAATCTGTAGCATGTGTAATTCTTACAGTCTGACAATAATAATTGTGAAGTGAACGGTCTTCTGTTATTAAACCCAAAGCTTTAACATTGCACGATCTCCCCTGGGAAAACTAATACAGCTTAAATAGGGTTTAAAACAGATATTTTCTACAAAGATTAAAATTGTGTTGGTAAGAAGCATGGACTAACCTTGGGGTCCTGGTTCACCTGGGGGTCCTGGTAGACCTGCTGGACCTGTCGTTGCCCTGCAGTCACCTGGTGGGCCTGGTAGACCATGATCACCCATTGCACCTTTATTTCCTGTTTCAGAATCACAAGGTAAGTATGGTCACTAATCCAAAAATATGGACAAGGTGGTTGGGGGGAATTATTAAGTAGGGGCAATAAGAGGGAATTAAGCATTGAAGAGTATATGAGTGATAAACGGTTTGAATTGGTAAAATACTTGTTGCTTGTTTACCTTTTGGGCCAAGTCCCCCTGGTGCTCCAGGTGGCCCAGGCAGTCCAGGCAAACCAGCGAGACCTGTGTCTCCTTGAGGACCTACAACACCTTGCTCTCCTGGAAGCCCTGCAGGACCTTTTGGTCCTGGTGGTCCATATCCAGCTTCACCCTAGCAGAGATATGTTTTCATAGTCTAGTCTTTAATCCTGTATAGCTGAACAGTAGTAAATGCACAGTTGCATTAAGTGATATACACTATATTGCTGAAAGTATTCACTCGCCTGCCTTTACACGGATATGAACTTGAGTGAGATCCCATTCTTAATCCATAGGGTTTAATATGATGTCGGCCCACCCTTTGCAGCTATAACAGCTTCAACTCTTCTGGGAAGGCTTTCCACAAGGTTTAGGAGTGTGTTTATGGGAATTGTTGACCATTCGTCCAGAAGCGCATTGGTGAGGTCAGACACTGATGTTGGACGAGAAGGTCTGGCTTGCAGTCTCCACTCTATTTCATCCCAAACGTGTTCTACCAGGTTGAGGTTAGGAGTCTGTGCAGGTCAGTCCAGTTCTTCCACACCAAACTCGCTCATCCATGTCTTTGTGGAGTTTGCTTTGTGCACTGGTGCACAGTCATGTTGGAACAGGAAGGGGCCGTCCCCAAACTGTTCCCACAAAGTTGGGAGCATGAAATTGTCCAAAATCTCTTGGTGCTGAAGCATTAAGAGTTTCTTTCACTGGAACAAAGGGGCCAAGCCCAACTCCTGAAAAACAACCCCACACCATAATCCCCCCTCCACCAAACTTTACATTTGGCACAATGCAGTCAGACAAGTACCGTTCTCCGTTCTCAGACCCGTCCATCGGATTGCCAGACGGAGAAGTGTGATTCGTCACTCCAGAGAACACGTCTCCACTGCTCTAGAGTCCAGTGGCGGCGCTTTACACCACTGCATTCAGCGCTTTGCACTGCGCTTGGTGATATAAGGCTTAGATGCAGCTGCTCGGCCGTGGAAACCCATTCCATGAAGCTCTCTACGCTGTTCTTGAGCTAATCTGAAGGCCACATGAGGTTTGGAGGTCTGTAGCGATTGACTCTGCAAAAAGTTGGTGACCTCTGTAGAAGCAGTCTGCATGCCTAGGTGCTTGGTATTATACACCTGTGGCCATGGAAGTGATCGGAACACCTGAATTCAATGATTTGGATGGGTGAGTGAATACTTTTGGCAATATAGTGTACGTTGCTCGTGCTTGAGGTGACCAGTAACACTTTTAAAATACTACTTTACAGGTGTGATTATTCACAAACTTATTTATTTACACTACTCTTTAACAACATATAAGATGCTACTGACATCAGGATCAAATCTATGTAGACACCATATTGGTCATACGCATAACAGTTACTTCTTTACATTTCTGTAAACATAAGAAATGTGAACTTTGCTGTATTTGTTCTGACCTTTGACCCTGGTACTCCTGGAGGTCCAATTGATCCAGGTTGCCCATTTAAGCCTATTCCAGGAACACCTGGAGGTCCAGGCTGACCCTTGTTACCTATGGGAATGCACACCACATATTTGCAAATAGCAACTTTTATTCATTTTATTCAGTGCTGAGCAAAAGTCAGAGACCACCCTCTCTGGTGGTAGCTCTCCGTTCTGTGTGCACGCTGGAAAAAATCGGTGTTCATACATAGCCCTGGCTTTGTAAGTGGGAGATAAAGAAAGTGTCTCAGACCAAGCCACACAACACTATTCCAGCCAATCAGCAACAGGGGGCCGAGAAACAGCCAAAGAGGAGAAAATCTGAAGAACCAAGCTTGAGAAAGAAGTACTTAGATCAGAAGTACTTAGATTAAGAAGTACTTAAATCCAGGCTAAAGTTTCCTATTCGGCTTCCTATTCGCATTTTCCCATTAAACCTTAAATGGTGCACCAGTTACATTCTGGCGCCTAAGGCACCTGAATGTAACTGCTGCATCATTTAAGGTGGAACGGAAAATTCAAACAAGGAGCTAAGGCACGTGAATTTAGCCTGGAAAGGTGGAACTGTGCAATGTTTGCAAAGGATTTTATGGCCACAAAGACCTAAAATAACATGTCTGCTAGCTCAGCGTCGTTTGCCTTGGCAATGCGTGTCCATGAATTTGAGATGAAGGGAGTGGAGTATTTGTTTTGCTGTTGAGTTCAAATATCAACAATCATTCTCCAGAATCATATACTGTGCCTTTAAGTTATACATTTGTCAGGAGATATTTCTGAGGAGATTAGATATAAAATAATCCACATCCTTGTGCACAAGGAGGGAGAATGTCAAAGGAAAATAAGTGAAGAAACAGACGTTTCTAAAACTGCAAAAAAATATGCACTCCTAACAACCGTGCAAGATCTGGTAGACCACCAAAACTGTCCCCATCAGATAAACAGTACTTCAGCAAGCCTCCTGAAAAGAATGGAAGCTGTAATAATGAAAGAGTAGACACATTAAGTACTGAAAATTTATATTATATTTAGTCACTGAGGCTTCTGTGTAATTTTCCGTTAGACGTGTTTTCTTTTTTCTGATGCAAAAAATGAATAACCTGTATTTTTTTAATGGAAAGTAAACAACTGTAGGGTGGTTTCTGAACTTTGCATTGTACTATATATTTGGTGTCCATCAGGAGTGTTTATGTGTCGCGCATGTAACGAACTCTCAGGGAGAGTCGGACTCCATTTCCCAGAATACTCTGGGAGATCATGTGACAGAGAGACTTGCCGAGTCGGAGTCAGAGAAAGACTCCAATGCCCACAAGTCACTCAAGGATCACGTGACTTCAGACAATGTTTTATGCACCTGTCAACGATTAAAGTCTCCTGAGTATTAACCTGTTTCACCTGTGCTTTTATCATGTGATCTGTTTAGCTTAGTATTTAAGCCCGGGCTGTAGGTAGAGTCAGTGCGAAGTATTGTTTCCCAGAGAACTTACTGAGCGTTTCTTTCTATCTGTATATTTCTGATTATCCGACCTTTGCTTCGTTCTTTGAATTTGCCTCTTGCCTGCCCCTTTTGTACCATTGCCCTGTGTTTTTTGAACTTGCCTGCCTGTTTTTCGACCACGTCTTTTGCCTTGTCCCTTTGGTTTTGTTCGCCTGTTGTTATGATCACCATTGTGATCATACTCCGCTTTGTGGTTTTGATCCCTGCCTGTGTATTGACAACAAGCCTGCTTAGCGATCATAAAACCTTTTTTAGTCTGGATACTGCTGTTTGGTTACATTATGTACCACTGTGTCCTTTAAGAACTGTTGATCAATGTGCTACTTTTAATATTATTATTTGTAAATTAAAGTGAAATTTGAGTACATGCACACCTTTGATTCCTGGTGGTCCAAAATTTCCAGAACAACAAATGCCACTATCTCCCTTTGGACCTCGTAGACCTGGACTTCCTTTACTGCCGGGCCACCCTTGACTGCCTGTGAACGATGCAGAAGGCTAGTCAGTTTTTACATATTACTTTGTTAGCTGACAGTTTGTCAGTTGAACATGTTACACCAACTAGAACTTTTGAAACAACAAGAAATAGCTTTGAAACCAATATGTGGTGTAGCATCACAGCCTTAGCAATATCAAATCAATTATTCAATGAAAAAATTGAACTTACACAATTTCCCCCTTACCCTACATGAAATCGATCAGCGAAGATGTTTGCTGTCGAAAGTTCGCTCCTTTGTTTTTGCTCTGGAGTTACAAGGCTAATGTAGCTAACAGGCCACGTAAAGTCTGAATTTTGTCCATACTTTTATCCAGCTTCACACACAACAGCATTTCACATGGTGTCATAAACCACATTATCAAGTCTATTAGAGATTACCTAACAACTCCACACAGTTTGAGGCAAGTGATGATTTAGGCATGCAGTTAGCATGCGGCTATGAGCTTCCATTTTTATGTTAGCTACATTAGCCTTGTAGCACCAGTGCAAAACTTAATAAGCAAACTTCAGACACCAAATATTCATCTGCTGATCAACTACATCTGATGTAAGGGGGAAATTCTGCAAATGTCAAACTCTGTTTCTTTAAGTTCAGAAAATTATGACCGTTCCATGCTAATGCTCTTGTCCCGGCACTTACCTTGTCGTCCAGGTGGCCCTGGAAGGCCCTTCTGCCCTTTAGGGCCTGGACTCCCACTCCAGCTACTAGGCTCCCCTTTCTGACCTAATGAAGAAGCGCAGAAGTTGTACAAGGGCAGTTGATATAAAATGAATGTTAGCAATGACTGTAGAATTCAAGCTTATGTTCCTTGCCTGGAGATCCAGGTGGACCACTGAGGCCATGCACTCCGCGGCTGCCTTTCGGTCCAGGAGACCCAGGCAGTCCATATTCTGGAGGTCCTGGTGGCCCAATCGGCCCTGGGTGTCCTTGAAGCCCTGGGGACCCAGGAGGCCCTGGATCTCCCCTGATACCAACTGTCGAATCCTAATCACAAATATTTCATCATCTGCGCTTTGGCTTCTATTATAAGTTTGTTTCGAGTCAACAGAGTCAAGGGAAAAATGATTGTCTAAAGTAAGTGATAATATGTGGCAGAGATTAGGCAGAAAAACGCTGAAGTATTCCTTTAAGATGACCTGCTTGACGAAGTTCTTTAACAGCTACTGAAGTCTAGTAGGTGTGAAGGGGCGTTCACCCAATTTTTTATTTACAGAAGTCAGAGACCACCATTCATTTATTTAATTTCCAGTCAAAACGGCCATTCAGTACAAGTTATTATAGATAAGAGACATTTCTGAGGATATTCTATTTAAGATAGTTGCATAATGAAGGAGAAAGTCAAAGGAAAAAAACCTGAAGTTCAACAAATGCTTAAAAGCTGCAGAGTAAATGGGACTCCTAACAACCACCTGGAAGACCTGGTGGACACCAAAACTGTCCCCATCAGATAAACAGCACTTAAAGCTTTCATCTTTGAGAGAGAGGAGAAAATCAAGCTGCTTCAGATCTGAAAACATCCACAGGTGTTTCTGTCCATCCTTCCACTGTGAGAAGACGACTCGGCGCTGTGGGTCTGAAAGGATGTGTAGCTGTCAAGAAGAACCTTACTGAGAAAAGGAGACGGACACATCAAACAAAGAAGCTGAACAACGGACTGACCACCCCAGAGTCCAAACCTCAACACCACTGAATGTGTTCGATTACTTCAGAAAATGATCAACCAGCTTCTGACTGAACTATTATCTATACAGTTTTAGCTTTTTCTAATACTGAACAATTAATAACTTGTACTCAGTGGCCATTTTGTCATGATATTAAATAATTGATGGGTAGTCTCTGACTTTTGCACAGTACTTTTACTGTAGTTGGTAAAAGTGGACAATGCAAATGTTTATCCAAACAATTCAAAATACAAAATAACTCTTTAACCACATACTGAATCGCCCTTAGGCCCGGGTGGTCCCTTAAGCCCAGGGGGTCCAGGTGGGCCATGGTGACCAGGGAGTCCAGATGGACCTGGCAGCCCTGGAGATCCTTTATTCCCCTTTTCTCCCTCATCACAGAACCTTCCATCACTGCCTTTAGCTCCTGGTTCACCCTGAGATCCAGGTAGGCCTGGAGTGCCCTTCATGAAAAGGTAAAGTCATCACAACCAAATATGAAGAAACGCTTTATTTATCAAATTGATTATCTACTATCTGAGTAACTATAGTTCTTATTAAAAAATAAATTAATGTTTTCAATGATGTAAACCGAATGTTGTTGCAGATACATGTATAAAATGATGCTAATATGACACTAGTACTCTATAATGATAGCCTAAATAATGCAAGACTAGGTTTAAATTATTGATGTAATAATATAAATCAATGAATTACACATTGATGAACAGAGCGGCAGACGATAATAACACAACCGAGAAAGCTTTACAGCACTGAGCATGAAATAATAATATAATTACAATGCAGAATTTGTGTGGTGATGGTCAAATCTTGAAGCAGATAACTTCACAAGAAGCTACTATCAATGAATATGTACACTATAATAATAATAATAATAATAATAATAATGATAATAATGCCCTGCGATGGACTGGCGACCTGTCCAGGGTGTATCCTGCCTTCCGCCCAATGACAGCTCGGATAGGCTCCAGCACCCCACCGCTACCCAGAAGGATAAGCAGTTTAGATGATGGATGGATGGATGGATGGATAATAATAATAATAATAATATTAATAATAATAATAATAGTAACTTAATAACTTTATTTATCTGCCCAGTTTTCATACTGGTGGCAGGTCAAAATGCTTGATAGACAGGTAATACGATTTTACAATAGTAGAAAAAATACAGTTGAGTTTGATTTCTTGTGTTATAGTTATTGTTACGTATCTACAAACTCAATTCCAAAAACTTGGCACGGTGTGTGAAATGCTAAAAACAGAAAGCAGTGATTAGTAAATTCTGCTTGAAAACAGTACAAAAACAAGCTATTTTTAAATGTTTATATATTTTACCCTATGATCTTTATTGTTTTTGTGCAAATATATGCTCATTCCAAATATGATGCCTGCAACACATCCCAAAGAAGTTGTTAATAAGCATTTTTTTTGTTGTTTTTCTTCAGTTATACAAGTTTTCAGCTTCACACAACTGTATGGGGCATTATTGATGTATTTTGCAATATAAAATGCACGATATGTTTTCAATATGAGACAGGCAGGTCAGTCTAGCACGCACGCTCTGATTATGCAGCCATGCTGTTGTAACACGCAGAATGTTTCTGGTCTTGTCCTGCTGAAACAAGCATGGACGTCCCTGAAAAAGACGGCATCTAGAAGGCAGCATACGTTGCTCCAAAATGTGTATATATCTTTCAGCATCAGGGTGCATTCACAGATGTGCAAGTTACTCATTAATATCCCCTCATACCATGACAGACGCTGGCTTTTAATCTTTACACTGGCAACAATCTGGATGGTCCTTTTCTTCGCTGGCCTGGAGACCACAATGTCCATTATTTCCATAAACAGTCTGAAAGGTGGACTCATCAGACCACAGTATATGTTTTTCCACTGTTACTACAGAATGTTATAAATAAAGGCTGTCCTTAAGCTGTTGGATTATCTGCTGATGCGGATGAAGTGGTAAGCCTCAACCCTTCATTTTTAAAAAGGCACCCTTTCCTGAATGCTCCTTTATACCCAAACATGATGACATCAACTCTTTTAAAATGTTTTCTAAACCTTTAACAACATTCCTAGTTTTAAATTTTCCCTGTCCCAACTTTTTTTGGAACGTGTTGCAGGTATGAATTTCAGAATGTATTTACAAAAACATTTAGATTAATAATTAATAAGATACTAAGATAAGATAATGAGACAAAGTGTTAAATATCTTTAGTTTGGATTTGAGGTTTATGGAAAAAATATTAAAATATTAAATAAATAAAGTTAAAAAAGAGAGGTACAATTTTAATAATAAGAGATTTCAATTAAAGAGATTCCAACATATAAGGATCAATATTTCATTTTTTTCTTAATTTAGTTGGAGAAAGTTTTGTGACATCCACTAAGAAACTTCTGACACAACCAGTAACAGAGACTTGATTTTCAAAAGGAATGGAAATTTGTACTTGCCTGTCATCAACATAGCTATAAATTTTTCTTTAATATTTAATATTTATCGTTTATCATTTAAGAACGTCTTGTTGACAGCTACTGTATTGGATACAATAGTAGTATATTAACGTCATCATCAGTCATCAGTACTGTACCTGAAAGCCTGGTGAACCCGGGAGTCCTTTAAAGCCCATATCTCCCTTTGGTCCAGGTGGAGCATTTGCACCTAAAAGGGTAAAATAACATTACGGTAACCTGCATTCAATCTCAACATTCTCCAAATAAACGTTAACGTTTGCATCCTGTTGTAGCTGTAGGTCATGAATGTACTCTTACCAGGAATACCAAGTGGGCCTGGTGGTCCTGGTGGTCCTGGTAGTCCTTGGCAAGAAGGACAGTCATAACAGGGCTCCCCCTTTTGGCCTTCAATGAAAAAAATAACATTAACGAAAAACACTAAACCCACCACTAACATACAGTTGTACACAAAGGTCAGTGCGCTCCTCTTCAAATTACACGGTTTTTGTTGATTTTTTATGTGAAAATAAGTAACACATCCTCTACAGAGAAACACTTCTGCACACTTTAATGCACAATTACTGTTTATTTGCTGAATTAAACATATGCCATAATTTAAACTTTATATTTTATTTTTTTCCCAATATGTTAAAAAAATGTCCACTAAAATTTGCATAAAATGTCATATTTACATTAGTTCAGTATAGAGGATGTGTTAACTTCCATTCACTTAGAAAATCAACAAAACATATACACAGATCAGGCATAACATTATGACCACCTCCTTGTTTCTACGCTCATTGTCCATTTTATCAGCTCCACTTACTATATAGGTGCACTTTGTAGTTCTACAGTTACAGACTGTAGTCCATCTGTTTCTCTGCATACTTTGTTAGCCCCCTTTTACCCTGTTGTTGGTTAGGACCCCCATGAACCCTCACAGAGCAGGTACTATTGGGGTGGTGGATCATTCTCAGCACTGCAGTAACACTGACGTGGTGGTGGTGTGTTAGTGTGTGTTGTGCTGGTATGAGTGGAGCAGACACAGCAGTGCTGCTGGAGTTTTTAAACACCTCAGTGGCACTGCTGGACTGAGAATAGTCCACCAACCAAAAATATCCAGCCAACAGCGTCCTGTGGGCAGCGTCCTGTGACCACTGATGAAGGACTAGAGGATGACCAACACAAACTGTGCAGCAGCAGATGAGCTATCGTCTTTGACCTTACATCTACAAGGTGGACTGACAAGGTAGGAGTGTCTAATAGAGTGGACAGTGAGTGGACACAGTGTTTAAAAACTCCAGCAGTACTGCTGTGTCTGATCCACTCAGACCAGCACAACACACACTAATGCCACCACCACCACGTCAGTGTTACTGCAGTGCTGAGAATAATCCACCACCCAAATAGTACCTGCTCTGTGAGGGTCCATGGGGGTCCTGACCACTGAAGAACAGGGTAAAAACTACACATAATGTAAAGAATAACTGGTGTTTTCAAACTATTTAAAAACAAAACAAACAAAAAAAAAAGAAAAAAATGGACATACAAGGTTTTGTTTTAATGGCAACAATGTAAAAAACACAGTTCTTTCTCCTAAGAAGGATGTCAAGGATGGTTTCATGACAAGATGAGACCTTCAGTTTAAAATATTAGAGAAAAATAAAGCATAACAAATAAAACATTTTGTGTTTTATTTTTTCCCAATATGTTAATTTCAGCATATAAACAGTAATTGTGCATTCAGATGTGCAGACTTTAGAGGATATGTTAACGTCATTTGACCATGGGTGCCCAAACTTTTGCATATGACTACACAAGCTGAATTCTGTATTAATATGTCAAGCTATCATGTTGTTTGGCAACCATAGTCTATGGCTGACTAACTACATCACTTTTTGGAAGAACTGTTTATTGGCCTGTTACTGATAATAAATGAATTAACGCATTGGCGACGGTAAAATCACCGTAACGTACGCCATTCTGTGCTTTATTGCTTTAATAGAATTTCATCGTGACAGTTTGCATACCCTTCACTCCATAATTGCCTTTATCTCCAGGAAGACCCATAATACCCTTGATTCCTTTCAGACCTGGAGGCCCCTGTTTGACATAATCTGTAAATGGGGAACATCAGTGAAGAAAGAGGCACAGATACCCCTAATAAATTAATAAAACATGACAATCATATAAACTGAGGCATGCTTGAAAATGAACAAAGATGTACAGAACACTGTAGTGGCATTTACTAATATAATAAAAAAAATCATATATTATATTTTATACACATTATTATATTTACCCTCTTTGATCATCCATATAACACCTCTTCTGAAATTTCTACATTAGTTTTCACTCATAGCTCATTGAAATAATCATTGAAAAACTGCAGATTCTAAACTTTCAATCCATACCACATTTGTGTTTGTGAGTAGAAGAGCGTTTTATCATGATTTGAGTTTGATGAAGTTATTGTTTTGTGTATAGTTATTTTGTGAAAAGAAAAAAAAAACATCCTTTACAAATATTTGTCATGATCTTGAAAAATAACAAAACAAAAAAAGAAAATTGTGGTCCCACTTTATGTTGTGTCTCTAATAACTGTGTAGTTACATGTGAACAACATATGCAACAACAATGTAACTACTGATGATTTAGTCACTGTTACAGTTGCCTCATGTAATTACACAAGTGTATCTTAATAGTTGTAACAGCCTATTCTTTCATGTAATTACACAAAGGTAATAATACAAATGTAATTACATTTGTAATCAGACTGGAACGACATTTTTTTAGAAGTTTTTTTTTTTCCAGCAGTAAAAGGAAATATCTAATAATGTGCATTAAGGCATTATTTACACTGTATCTGCCAGCTTTCCTAACATGTAGCTAGCATTTATTGCTAGTGCTGCGACACTGTAACCAGTTTCAGCTTTAAACCATTCTGTAATGTGATGGTACAGCAGACGACCCCTTATCTTAACATGTAACTGTTATGACATTAAATGTGTTGCATTACCTCCAAAGCAATGTTTATATTACCACTCCATTATTACACAGTAACTATATAACAACTACACAGGAACTGTCCACTTATTATAAAGTAAAACTTTAACACTGCACTGCAGGAAAGTTCCTATTTAGAAGATACACTTGTGTAATTACATGAGGCAAAAGTGAAGTTGATACACATGTGTAATTACATAGGCTGTACTTCTGTAATCTTCTGTAATCCATCTGTAACATTGACTAAATCATCAGTAGTTACAGTGTTGTTGCATATGGTATTCATGTGTAACTACACAGTTATTAGGGACGGTTAATATAAAGTGGGACCAAAATTGCTGATTCAAAATGTCAAAACATCAAATCTAAATGAAATTCATGTAACATAAAACACACAATATTATTTATGTATTGTACATTAAGTGTGTTTCAAAGCCGCAATAATAACCCTAAACCTCTAAGAGTTGAACGTATTTCTTCAGTGTTCTATAGGGCAGCATTTTTCCCTCAGCTTAATATGTTTGACAGAATTCATAGCTTTACACACACAGCTAGTTCCTCAGACCTTCAAGATACATCATCAGAAGGAGGGTTTCCTAGTCTTTAAACTGGAAATTTTCACTCTAGAAACTACTGTGGCACCACTGTAGATACATAACCATGTTCACTCCAGACGTAGTGACTGTTATAGTTTTCATTTTGGTTGGAGTGCCCCTTGAAATGCAAATGGCAACCAAAAGTGGCATGAGTAGCAAAGTTTTAAAACCTGAAGGCGACAATGTGCCTATGGGTCCTGGCTCTCCAGGGGGCCCTGGGGGTCCTGGAGGTCCATCTACACCAGGAGGTCCAAACTGATGTGGGCCTGGGTCACCCCTCTCTCCTTTGGGCCCTGTTAGTCCTGGTGGCCCGCTTGGGCCTGGAGGTCCAGGGACAGAATGATTACCTACAAATACAAACAAAAAACAATTTATCATCTATTTATGTTTGGTAATGACTGTGTCTGATTATTTTATAAGCTTTAGAAGATGTTAGGGGCAACCACCATGAACTAGAGGTAGAATTTACAGTTCATCTACCTGGTACGCCTGGAGGTCCAGGAAACCCTGGGACACCTTCAAAAGATAAAATGAATTGAAATCACCTAATAAACACTGGCAAATTAGACATCGCCTTCTATTTCAGTATCAATGTGACATAAAAAAAAAAAATCATAAGAATTTAAGAGTTTAATGTACATTTTTAAAAATATTTATAGAACCCCATTTTCAAAAAAGTCAGGATGCTGTGAAAAATGTAAATAAAAACAAAATGCAATGATGTGCAAATCATTTAAACCCTATATTTCATTGAAAATAGTACAAAGACAACATATCAAATGTTGAAATTTTATTGTTTTATTTTTTAAATATATGCCCATTTTGAATTTGATGCCAGCAACAAGTTATAAAAAAGTTGGGACGAGGGCATCAAAAGGCTGGTAAAGTTGTGTAATGCTTAAAAAAACACCTGGTTGTTAATTGGCAAAAGGTCAATAACATGATTGGGTATAAAAAGAGCATCTCAGTGAGGCGGAGTCTTTCAGAAGTAAAGATGAGGAGGGTTCACCACTCTGTGAAAGACGATCAAATAGTGCAACAATTCAGGAATAACGTTTCTCAACATAAAATAGCAAAGAACTTTTGCTTTTCATCATCTACGGTACATAATAACATTAAAAGATTCAGAGAATCTGCAGAAATCTCTGTATGTAAGGGACGAGGCCAAAAAAACAGTATTTGCTGGCCGCGATCTTTGGGCCCTCAGGCAACAATGCATTAAAAACAGACATGATTCTGTAGTGAAATCACTGCATGGGCTCAGAAACACTGCTGAAAAACACCGTCTAGGAAAACAGTTAGTCGCTGCATCCACAAATGCTAATTAAAACTCTTAAACGCAAAGAAGAAACTGTATATAAACAGGATCCAGGAATGCTGACACCTTCTCTGGGCCTGAGGCCATTTAAAATGGACTGAGGTGAAGTGGAAAAGCGTCCTGTGATCTGACAAATTAACAATTGAAATTCTTTATGGAAATCATGGACACTGTGTCCTCTGGGCTAAAGACCACTCAGCTTGTTATCAGTGCACAGTTCAAAAGCCAGTATTCATGATGGTACAGGGGGGCATTAGAGCACATGGCATGGATGAAGTACACATCTGTGAAAGCACCATTAATGCTGAACAATATATACATGTTTTGGCAGCATATGCTGCCATCCAGACAACGTCTTTTTCAGGAAAGGCCTTGTTTATTTCAGCAAGACAATGTCAAACCACATTCTGCATGTATTACAACATTGCATTGAAAGAGTCCGGGCGCTAAACTGACCTACCTGCAGTTCAGACCTGTCACCACTGATAGCATTTGGCACATTATAAAATGAAAAATGTGAAAAAGGAGCAGCTGAAATCCTATGTTAAGCAAAAATGGGAAAACATTTCACTTTCAAAACTACAGCAGTGTCTCCTCAGTTCCCAAACGCTTACAAAGCGTTGTTAAAAGAAGAGGTGATGAAACACAGTGGTAAACAGGCCCCCGTCCCAACTTTTTTGGAAGGTTTTGTTGGCATCAATTTCAAAATGGACATATATTTTTCAAAAAACAATCAAATTTCTCAGTTTCAACATTTGATTTGTTGTCTTTGTACTATTTTCAGGGAAATATAGTATGTGGTATAAATGATTTGCACATCATTGCATTTTGTTTTTATCTACATTTTGCACAGGAACCCAACTTTTTTGGAAATGGGGTTGTAAAAATGAACATAACCTAATGACTCATAACACATTATAACATTTTTTTTCTACACCAGCTCCTCTTAACATTGTATTAACATTTCATGGTGAGTTGACCAACAGAAATCTAATTGCATTAATATTTATTATAGTTCAGTAAAGTTAAAGGGGAATTCCACTGACTTTTCTAAAGTTCTGCAAAATTAAATGGTTGAGATGTAAACAGAGTCATTCAGAGCGGTTTGGTGTGAAACGCTCTGTTCTAGAAAAACTTACCTAGTCAGAATTGTTCACAGTGGTGGTGATAGGAACCAGACGTCCACCTCTAAAAGCTCCCTCACAGAAAGTTATTACATGAAATGGTTATGCATATACTGCCTGATGTCCGCGACATTGTTTTAAGATAGTTTCGAGATTTTTTTGACCTTAGTTGTGTTTTTGTTTTTTTTAACATTTGGTAACGGTGGAGAGGTACACGTAGTGTGTTGTACAGCAAAGTAAGCCCCTAAGACAGGGTGTTGTCAACCCAAATACTAAGAACAACCATTTTGTCCTTTCAACAATAATCAAACCACCTTCTAAGCCACAACATTTTATGTCCACTTTACTACCTTGGCTGTAAATACGTCTCAGTATGTGCTAAAGTCCAAGTATAGGATAAATATATATAAAATAAATGAAAACGCAGACTTACTTTACTCTGCTTTAAGCTTGAGCTCAGCTATAGCCACTTTTCCTGCATCTCCAGCAGGAAACATTTCCACACAGGTGGAATAGTTTCTTGTAAAATGTCTTTTAATGTTCGGTTTTTTACGAGGCTGAAGTCTCGTTTGGCCAATTCTTGTTCGAATTTTCCTGTTCCACTTTAAATGGTGCCTGAGGCACCAGAACGTAGCTGCTGCACCATTTAAGGTGGAATGGGACAATTCAAACAAGAAGCTGGTGAACGAGAAGCTGACTTCAGCCTCGCAACTTTTTAGTGTTTGACGTTTTTTTGCCGCAGATTAAACGTATCAGGAAACCGGCTGAGTGCTTACTGACAACAAGACTGTTGTCTGCGTTGCTATGTGACCAGCAGTCTGGGCGCCAACCTCCAAGGTAAAAGGGTGAATTAGCAGTGATACATTAACTCCAAGATTTTTTGTTTATTTTTTCACGTTTACTGATGTTGGTTCTCTGGTGGTTTTGGATAGTAAATAAAATGGCTATATTTGTGTTGTAGCTATGGTGACCCCTGGTTCCTATCACCAAAAGAATACAGTTAGAAGAACACAGGTTTAGTTCCTGACATCTCACTGAACTCACTGAGCGATTGCATGGATGTGTTAATTTCCATCACCTGATTTAATTTAATGAAGCATTGATAAGATAAATTATTTGGTGGTAACAGTTAACACTGTATTTCCTCATTAGTATTAGCTGCACTCACCAAGGGCTCCCAGGCACTCCAGGCAGCCCTGTAGGACCAGGTAGCCCCTGATATCCTTTGTGTGGGAAATACCCGCTAACCTGCAGAATGACAAATGAGTGTGGAGGAATGTTGTAGTAAGGTGTGTGTAGTTGGTGCAGGGCTTTTGAGTGTTTGTCTCTCAACATGATGGACTTTTGTTTAATGATATGTAAGATTTGGTGACACTGTACTTGAACCCTGCTACATAACATTGATATTATCATACCATATCATGTCATGGCATATGGCTGTCTTGAGCTGTGATGACAGATTATGTCCTGTATTATAACAGCGTCATGTAGGGCTGGGCATTATGATGATATTTTATCATTATCATGATACAGTATGTCACAATATGCTTTTCTGAATATTTTGTGGATATCGTCAGTACTAAAAGAACACTAACGACATGTTTCTTTACAAAGTGAGCATAATTAGGCTAGTTTGATTAACATTGAATAAAATTCATTGTACACTATAAGGGTACTATGCACATACATTTTACAAATATACATACAAATATACCCCCAAAGGTATAACAGTGGTTTTAGGGTCCAATTGTGCACCTTAAAGAAGTTTTTCCAGGTGAAAAGTACGTATTTGTACCATTTTCATAACCAAATGTTTTAAAACAGAACAATAAAATAAAAGTCCTGCAGACGAGACGGGGTGTGTGGAGTCAGTACAACTTACAAAATATCATTTCAGTGGATTATGGTACAGTTATGTTCCCTGACTAAATGTACTGAGCGTAAGGGTCCAGCCTGCGCCGCTGGCCGCCAGCAGAGGTGCTATAACTTCAGGGAACTCCAATTCCCAGAAGCCCTCGGGCTGATTAGGCCCAACCTGACACACCTGTGGACTCCTCTACTTAAGGCTGTGGCACACAGCAGCACTTTGTCACACCTTTGTAGAGGGGTGACCGGTACGATATGCAGCCCAGGTGGGTATTTAAACAAAATGAAAAGAATCAGTACATCTGTGGTTCGAGCCTGGCTCTGGGTCACCTCAACCCCAACGTGCCAAATTCACACTCCATTGCCTCAGTAAATTTATTTAACACCCTTCTTCAAGGGTTTTCATCTTTGCACTTGGGTTCTTTGCACAGTGGGTCCATCCCGTAACACTGAGATGTAACCTTGAGGGTTCCACCTCAATGACAAGAGGGTTACTGCCCCAGTGACAGTTTCATACCTTTATTTCTGAGAGTGTAGTCTTAGGTTTAATATTATCATTATTATTATTATTTAATTTTTTTATATGTGGCCTTACAGGTTCTATTTTGTCTGTATCAACTTATTAAATCTCAGAAAAACTAAATATCACAATGCTTATTGTGTATCGTGAAAATGTCTTGGAGGATTGTGATATTATATTGTTGCCATATCGCCCAACCCTTAGAGTCATGTTACCATTACTGGTAATTATCAAGACAGATATCTTAACATACGGCTAGTTAGAGCAGGAAAAATTATAACATAAGCTATCATAACATCACAAATTGTGGCTCATGTCAGTGTCACTGCTGTGCTGAGAACGGACCACCACCCAAGTAACATCTGGACAGCAGTCCTGTGGTGAGCCCTTTCCATTGATTGTAACTGTATACACACTAACTGCACCTGTATGGTGGGCGTTTCTGATAAAATGGCCATTGAGCATGAGTATTTCATGTGGTGTTTCTGTTATTCCCCTGTAATAAATAATAGATGCTTCACAGACCTCTCCAGGAGGACCCATTGGACCCCTGTCACCCTTCTCTCCCTGGAAAAGATGAGAGGGTTGAGTACAACACACACACATGATATTCAGCTGCATATTCTGAGATTAAATATGCATTTAAAACATGGCTCCACAATAAATCATATTTTTATCATTATAGCAACATGAGTGTCCATGATAAACACACATTGTTAATGGCTGTCAAGACATAACGGCTTAAGTTACCTCAGCACCAACCTGATGTGACTGGATTGGTGGCAGCATAGTGTTACTGTTAATAACAACCATTATTAGAACCAAACAAGTTCTCTTCCGCACTGGGATTAAATGCTGAACTCCTGTATAACCATTCAGCTAACAATCGATTACAAAACACATACAGCTCAAAAACTACTCTATACTAATCTACTAACCCATGAAAATACTTCAAACGTGATGATTATATACATACACTATATTGCCAAAAGTATTCGCTCGTCTGCCTTCACACGCATATGAACTTGAGTGAGATCCCACTCTTAATCCATAGGGTTTAATATGATGTTGGCCCACCCTTTGCAGCTATAACAGCTTCAACTCTTCTGGGAAGGCTTCCCACAAGGTTTAGGAGTGTGTTTATGGGAATTTTTGACCATTCTTCCAGAAGTGCATTTGTGAGGTCAGACACTGATGTTGGATGAGAAGGCCTGGCTCGCAGTCTCCGCTCTAATTCATCCCAAAGGTGTTCTACTGGGTTGAGGTCAGGACTCTGTGCAGGCCAGTCAAGTTCTTATCCACCAAACTCGCTCGTCCATGTCTTTATGGACCTTGCTTTGTGCACTGTTTTACATTCATGTAGCAACAGGAAGGGGCCGTCCCCAAACTGTTCCCACAAAGTTGGGAGCATGAAATTGTCCAAAATCTCTTGGTGCTGAAGCATTAAGAGTTCCTTTCACTGGAACTAAGGGGCCGAGCCTAACTCCTGAAAAACAACCCCACACCAAAAACCCCCCGCCACCAAACTTTACACTTGGCACAATGCAGTCAGACAAGTACCGTTCTCCTGGCAACCGCCAAACCCAGACTCGTCCATCGGATTGCCAGACGGAGAAGCGTGATTCATCACTCCAGAGAACACGTCTCCACTGCTGTAGAGTCCAGTGGAGGCGCTTTACACCACTGCATTCGACGCTTTGCATTACACTTGGTGATGGAAGGCTTGGATGCAGCTGCTCGGCCATGGAAACCTATTCCATGAAGCTCTCTATGCTGTTCTTGAGCTAATCTGAAGGCCACATGAAGTTTGGAGGTCTGTACCGACTGACTCTGCAGAAAGTTGGCGACCTCTGCGCACTATGCGCCTCAGCATTCGCTGACCCCGCTCTGTCATTTTACGTGGACTACCACTTCGTGGCTGAGTTGCTGTCGTTCCCAATCGTTTCCACTTTGTTATAATACCACTGACAGTTGACTGTAGAATATTTAGTAGTGAGGAAATTTCACGACTGGACTTGTTGCACAGGTGGCATCCTATCACGGTACCACGCTGGAATTCACTGAGCTCCTGAGAGCGACCCATTCTTTCACTAATGTTTGTAGAAGCAGTCTGCAGGCCTAGGTGCTTGGTATCATACACCTGTGGCCATGGAAGTGATTGGAACACCTGAATTCAATGAATTGGACGGGTGAGTGAATACTTTTGGCAATATAGTGTATATAATTGTTTTTGTAGGCATACGCTAGCATCCAAAAATTTGGGATCACTGTTTTCAATAGATTGTATAAAAAATGTTGCAGATAAATGTATTACATGATTCAGTTATGATGCTTCTACTCTACAACTTCACAGATTTCAAATAATCATTAGGAAGCTGTGAACAATTAAGATATTTCAGAGCAAATGACAAACAGAGCTGGAGATCATTTTAAAATGACTGAAAAAGTTGCAAAACATGAAGCATAAATTCGTTATGCAAAGTGCTTCATGTTTGAAACATGGTGATCAGGCAGATAACATCAATAAATTCCTATAAATAGATAATTATAATATTTAGCATTTAATGGCTTTTTTTATTAAATGTGCCACCAAAAACTTGAAATATTGAAAAAAACATCATAAATTATCTTCTACTGTTTAGCTTATAGTATTTCAAGACACTGTATAAGTTAGTATCAGACAATATAATAGCAATTATTAATATGGCAAAAGATTGCAAACCTTTGAATGCCAGTGTACATAAAAAAACATATATACATTTATTCGTTTTTTGTAGCCTGTTCAGAGAATGTTGAGTCTTTTTCAGCCTCATATTGCATAGAAATATGCTCGCACGTCTGCAGCTTTTAATATTTCATTATTTAATTGTCAATTGTTAATTGTTAAACAAATGCTTTTATAAATGTTGCATTTTTATTATTTTCCTAAAGGAAAGGTTAGTTAGGTTTGTTTACACTGTCTGTACTAGTGGCACAACCACTTACACTATATGAAATATAATTCATCGCTTCTCGTATTGTTATCATGACATCTAACAGCTTTACTGAGCCTCAGATTTTATGTCCACATCGTGCAGCCCTAATTTAACGTATTCACAGGTGTTCTACCTTCAGTCCAGAAGTGTTAAGCATCATTTATCATTATAAAAATGGTTTTTGAAAGCATTGGGAAAATTGTGTACATGTATCTGTTGATCTCTTTGCACTGACCTTGGCTCCTAAAGGGCCAGAAAAATATCCTGGAGGTCCAAGATGTCCTTTTTCACCCTTAAGATTAATAAACACATATTAACATATTCAGTTACGATACTTAAACAACTATAAAGAGCAATAAAAGGTCAAATTTCTCTCCTATTTCCAGTGTGAGACTGAGCTATTTAACCACACATCTTTTATGATCTTACCCCCCCCATCTTTACCAAAGGTGCTGACACTCCCCCACACCCAAATCTATAGATTCAGCAAATAATTAAAAACATTACCGTTAATCCTCTGACTCCAGGGTCTCCGTCCTTCCCAATTTTTCCCTAAATGTAAAACATTCAATACTCAATTCAGTAAGTGCTCCTCATTTCAAACAGCGTGTAATGTGGCTGATTACAGTACATGGTTACAGCAGCTACACAGTGTTGAACTGCAGCTCTATGACTAATGCAATAACTTATTACTTGCTTTCATCTACAGCAGTTACACTACAGCAAAGAGACACAGACAAACAAAAATATTGCTACAGTAAACCTTCCTTAATCTATTTTAATCGCAAAATACTTCAAAATTACAGCATAAGAAATGTTAATTTATAGTATTCATGCACTGAATTTAATAAGCATTGCAATTATATTGGATGATCTGTGGCAGTTTGTTTGTAATCTGCACATACAGCTTTGTAGGAGTGTTTGAAAAGAAATATGAAAACATTTTAAGTCAGTATTAACCTCAGGACCACTGTCACCCCTTTCCCCCTTCTCCCTTTTCTGCCAGGAAGAGCCAGGAGTTCCCTACAGACAAGAAAAATAACAGCACATTACATAAAGAAAAAAACAGGACTGCAACTATCAAATATTTTAATTTTCAAATATTCAATCGGATATTATCTCAGATATTCCAATATTCTTTAAGATAAAAGCTCAAGACATTTCACCTTAATGACTGAATGAAAAAAAAACATTATTATTGATCATTAATACTACTAACAATAATAATAATAATAATATTTGTTGATGTTGTTTTTGTATGCCTACACATACTATATATATATATATATATATATATATATATATATATAGTATAAATTATTTTTCCAAATCATATATATATATATATATATATATATATATATATATATATATATATATATGATTTGGAAATATAATATTAATATAAAATTATAAAATTGGAAAAAATAATATTAATACATTAATATGAATTTATTTAAGAATGTTTTTTCCTCCTCCTGAAAAGTTACTATTTTGGAGATATGAGGTTTTGATCCAACATTGATGATATGCTTCTTAATTGGAATCCTGTCCAATCTGGCAACACTGGTTGCTGGTACTGTTTGAGGGTATCACTGATTTCTGGTGTAGGAAATGGCGTCTTTTTAACCATTGTCTTAAATAAATTAAAACAACTTTTGTGCAACCAGCGTTGCCAGATTGGACAGAATCCTCAGTTTAGCATGCTACTTGCAATTTAAAATAGCAAAACTATTTTTTAATATTTTTAAATCAAATTTATCAAATATTATTTAATATTTGTTACAGCCCTAAAATAAAAATGAACACAATAACAGTCATGCTTAGTTAACAGGAATACCTGCTATTTAAAATGGCAGTAAATGGGGGAAAGCTGAATCACGCACAAACATCAGCCATACAGGTTTAGGGCCCTATGCAGTCTGAATATTTTTCTTAAATTTGTTTACCATTTTCAATTTTTTTTCATCAAAATTATCATTTTTTATTATTTGTTGGAGCCTTAGAAAAAAAAAAACAAACACAATAACAAGACTGCATAAATAAATGAATATTATATCTAAATATCTAAGATAAATATCTTTGTGAAAATACTCACAGGTCTACCAGGACAGCCTCTATCGCCTGGATCTCCAGCATCACCCTGGTAAATACATGTTTATTAGTTTTCTATTAATTTATCAGGGTTATATGTGCAGACAGTGTAGATATAGTGAAAAATGCACCAATATGAACCCTGCCAAAGTAAAACTACTATCTGTCCTAGTTTGTAGGTAATAGTATTTTGCTTTGCATGGTGTAGAACAAATGACTCACATCTTACCTTTAAATTTTTAGTGCCAGTTGCATAAAGTTTTGTTCCTTTTGGGCCAGGTATCCCGGGAGGTCCTTGATCTCCCTAAACACATACAGTACTGAGCCATGACATAAAAGTATGATAACAAGAACTCTAAAACAGCAGTGAAGGGTAGGCAGAACAGACCACCGCAAAGCAACAGCGAGCAGAATACAGAGGCTAAGCAAGTGACAGACAATATTCAGCTGAAGGCAATCAAATACAAATAACTGAAACATGTACGCTACTCTATCAAAGGTACTGGGACACCTCTCTAATTACACAAGAAACCATCCTCTAAAAATCTGTTTCATTTCGAAAAGGTTGTATGTGAACTGGAAAGTATTCCACATTATGAAAGTGGTAGATTCTGAAATTTAGGAGAGGGATGACATTCCAAAATGAACCATGTTCAGTATCTTGAGGACACGTAGCTTGCACTGAGAAAGAAGACTTGTTTGTTCTAAATGGGATTAAGTCAGAAGCAGCATCTGGCTGTGCTTAGACAACACACAGCATGGTTATGACATGACAACCCACACACAAGAAGCAGCACACAAGCTTAATCACAAATAAAGACTCGCTTCACTCAACAACATCAGTCTCTGGAGCTACAGTAAATGGTCCTCTGGAGCTACTGTAAACTGACCTATGGAGCAAATGTAAACTGTCTTAAGGGGCTACAGTAAACTCTCCTATGCAATCATGGAAATGATCCTATGGAGCGAAAACAAACTGGCCTATAGAGCAACAGTAAACTGTCTTATGCAACAGTGGTACACTGTCCTATGGCGCAATGATAATCTGTCCTATGCAGCAACAGTAAAAAGTCCTATGGAACAGCAGTAAACTGCCCTATGCAACAATGGCACACTGTCCTACGGAGCGACGGTAATCTTTCCTATGCAGCAACAGTAAAACGTCTTATACAGCAACAGAAAACTGTCTAATGAAATAATGGTAAGGTGTCTTATGGAGCTGCGATAATCTGTCCTATGCAGCAACAATAAAAGGTCCTAGTAACAGTAAACCGTCTTATGGTGCAACGGTAAACTGTTCTACGGAGCAACGAAAAACCATTTCATTCAGTAATAGTTAATGGTCCTATGGAGCAACAGTAAACCATTCCATGAAGCTACGGTAATGTGTCATATACAGCAACAGTAAAGGTCTTATGGAGCAATGGTAAACTGTACTATGGTGCAACTATTAACTATCCTATGGGGAACAGTAAACTGTCCTAGGAGCAACATTAAACCATCCCATTCAGCAACGTTAAACCATCCCATTCAGCAATGGTAAATGGTCCTATGGAACAAAGGTAAACTGAATCTGCAGTAATCTGTCCTATGCAACAACAAAATTCCTATGGCATAACTATAAACTGTCCTAAAGGGAACAGTAAACTGTCCTATGGAGCACTGGTAAACTGCACCATGGTACACTGTCCTTTGGATCAACAGTAAACTATAGTATGGTGTAACGGTAATCTGTCCTATGGAGCAACAGCAAACTGTCCTATGCAACAATGGTAAACTGTCCTATGGAGCAACCTAAAAAACCTTCCCATTTAGTAAAGGTTGATGGTTCTATGGAGCAACAGTAAATGATCCTATGTAAAAACAGTAAACCACATCATGGAGCTAACAGTAAAGGCCTTATGGAGAGATGGTAAATTGCCTTATGGTGCAACTATAAACTGTCCTATGGGGAACAGTAAACTGTCCTATATAGCAACAGTAAACCATCCCATTCAGCAATAGTAAGTGGAAAAATCGTAAATGGTCCTATGGAACGATCCTATGCAACAATGGTAAACTGTCCCATGAAACTACAGTAATCTGTCCTATGCAACAACAGCAAAAGTCCTATGGTGCAAATATAGACTATCCTGTGGAGCAATGGTAAACTGTACCATGACACTGTCCTCACTGTCTTTACTCATCAACAGGAAACTGTAATGGTAAACTATCCTATGGAGCAAACTGTCCTTTGTGTAATGGTAAACCGTCATATGGAGCAACAGTGATCTGTTTTAAGAAGCAATGAATCACAGTACACCGTTCAATTCAGATGGACGAGTGTGGGTGTGGAGAATGCCTGGAAAAGCGCTCCTACTAGAGCATGCAGTAGTGTAGTGGTGTTCTGATACAGGGTTGGTTTCCCAGACAGGGACTAAGGCTCGTCCTGGACTGTAAGTTTCAGTGCAGAATCTCCTTTTAGAACGCTAATCCATGCAAGATTAGACCTAAAACTAGGCTTAATCCCTGTCCAGGAAAAAACGACCCAAAGGGTGGACTGGCCATGACTTTACTAGTTATAAAGCCAGAAATCATGAACCATTATTATGGACAACTCTGCATGTCACACTACTGTGTAGCATGGATTAGGTCCACAAATGTTCCAGCAAGGCAATGGTCCTCATTCACCAACCATTCTTAAGAAGAAAACCTACTTATACAGTTTCCACAAAGATTCTGATATTCACCAATGTTTTCTTATTTGAGATTTGTTCTTAAGTAAGAACAAAATCTACACACACTTTTTATTAGGACCTTTCTTAGGAACAAATTTAAGAAAAAAACTTAGAAGATACTGGTGAATGAGGCGGACGGCACGGTGGCGCAGTGGGTAGCGCTGTCACCTCACAGCAAGAAGGACCTGGGTTCGATTCCCGGCCGGGTGACCAGGGTCGTTTCTGTGTGGAGTTTGCATGTTCTCCCCGTGTCTGTGTGGGTTTCCTCCGGGTGCTCCGGTTTCCTCCCACAGTCCAAAAACATGCAGTCAGGCCAATTGGACATGCTAAATTGCCCCTAGGTGTGAATGTGTATGTCTGTCTGTCTGCCCTGCGATGGACTGGCGACCTGTCCAGGGTGTATCCTGCCTTCCGCCCAATGGGATAGGCTCCAGCACCCCACCGCGACCCAGAAGGATAAGCGGTTTAGATGATGGATGGATGGATGGAGAATGAGGCCCAATGTCCTTTGTAATAATGCAGCTGCCAAAGATGGGCCTGTACATTTTTAATTTTTGCACTAACTCAACAGAAATACATGTCCCAGTACTTTTGGTAAGTGGGTACTAAGCGTAGCTATGTTAGAAGACTATATTTGAAAGAGTTCTTTTAACATAATGTGGTATCATGAAGTTTGTCTATATGAAAAGGAACATTAGCAGGCAGGGTGATGAAAGGTTAGAATATGATGAGGCTTGACCTTCTGACCAGGAGGTCCTGGAACACCAGATCGCCGTCCCTCTGTACCCTAAACATACATATACACATATACACACGTTCACATATTATAATGGTAAACAGTTTCAATTTTATTATTACGGTACTGAAAGCATACCTTTAGTCCTGGAGGTCCAGGAGGTCCTCTAGGCCCCTACAGAAACCGAGGCAACAACTCAGACAGCATACTTAGTACCAACTTGTGCTGAAAAAAGGTTGATCTACATATCTACACATCAAAAGACAGCAATAAACATTTACACCATGAGTCTGAATATTACTAGTAATATGTGTAGAAAAATATTATGAAATTTACATAATCGAAACTAATTTTCCTCCTAAAGAGTTTGAAGCACTATGTAAAAAAAGTTTCAAAACATATCATTCCCTACTTAGTCCATACAGCCTAAATATGGAAACCATGCTACAAAACCAGCTCATTTGATTTCATTATTTCTGTGATGTCACGAGAACCTACATATTCATATATTGCTGCTGTTGGAACAAAACCTTGTATGTTCAGTTTCTGTTGTTTTTCAGTTTTTCACATATTTGGAAAATGCCTTTAGACTTTTACATTGTATGTAAATTTCATGATGAATGGACCAAGAGAAACGGCCCAAAATGACTTAGAAAAAAGTCTGGTTCCATTGACTTACATTAAAAGTAAACTAGGTTATTTCTGTCTCCTTTAAAGTTACCATTTTGGAGATACGAGGTTTTGTTCTGACAACAGCGACATTATTTAGCCTACAGCAGTTTAGCTCCGCCCATTTACCCTGAAGTTATGAGAAGTGTTTCAGCCTGGAATGCTCTTTGAATGAGGCACAATACAGAACAGCCAGTCAGAATGCAGCTAATTTGCATATATCAGACACAGTAACAAAAACAGACTGTTTAATTCTAAGTGATAAAGAGAGGTTGGGAAACGGTCACGTAAAAAATGAATTATGACTACTTTTGGTACACAAAACCACACAAACATTATAAGTGGACCCCAAGGGAAAAAATAAAACACAAGAGCAATGTAGGATATGGGCCTTTAAATATATTGTACAGTTACATTTTATGGTACTGCAGCTACTGCATAAATGGTTTACAGTTCCAAATCTATTAAGAAGTGAAATATTTCAATTTGATGCTTTAATTATTTTGACTGTTCAAGTATTACCAAACGAACACGAATATGGATTCTCTTTGTTATCTGAATGCTGCTCTTTTGTCTGTGTTGTCTTGTTTACATTAGGCAAAGAAACTCACATCAGTTCCTCTGAAACCTTCAGACCCTGCCAATCCATCATGGCCAGGTGCACCTTGTAGTCCCTGTGAGACAGCAAAACCTTTCGTTTGTTTCATTTTTTCTACAATGGTTAAAAGCTACAGACCACCCGCAAGACCTGGTAGACCATCAAAACTGCCCCCATCAGATAAACAGCACTTTGAGCTTCCTTCTTTGAGAGAAAGGAGAAAATCAAGCTCTGAAAACATCCACAGGTGTTTCTGTCCATCCTTCCACTGTGAGAAGACGACTCAGCGCTGTGGGTCTGAAAGGATGTGTAGCTGTTCAAGAAGAACCTCACTGAGAAAAGGAGACGGACACATCAAACAAAGAAGCTGAACGATGGACTGACCACCCCAGAGTCCAGACCTCAACATCACTGAATGCGTTTGATTACTTCCGAAAGTGATCGACCAACTTTGGAGGTATGTCTGGAGAATGGAACTGCACAGTCTTGTATATTTTGCACTTCCTATGTAAAGAGAGAGATACAGAGATATTTGAGAAACAAGGAGAATTGCATACTTGAGCACCATCACGTCCAGGAGGTCCAGGGGGTCCTTTTAGACCCGGAACTGATGGACCAGAGTCACCCTATCACACAACACAAATAAGAAGAAGGAAAATGCGTTTGGGACTGTGATGATCAAAGTGATGATGATGATGATGATGACGACATGAGAAGGAACTCACCTTTGGCCCAGGTAAGCCAGGAGCTCCCTAGAAAAAAATGAAAATGCCACCTGTCACCTTTATGTGTGAATATTCCATGATGAACAGCCTGATAGAAATATTTCAGAATAACTTTACACATTTTTATTGTATGGTATAATGAAGTTACCCTTTCAGTGATACTGAACATGCCATATTATAAAACCGTTCTTAGTAGTAGTTCCGGTCCTAAAATCCGTTCGAAGCCGTTGTAAAATCCACAATATATCGCGGCTATGACCGCCTCACAGCAGCTGAACTCTGTATCACTGCGCCACAGCATGAAAAACCCTTCTGCTGTTAGTGGATTAATCTTTGACCTAACGCTGATCGCACGGAAGTAATTTTGTTTAAACTGAGGGGCTGAAAACTTATTTTCTTAGCTAGAACTCAGCTGGTCAGCTAGCCAACAGGGTAAAAGATAGCAAACATGCTAAACCACTCCAACATTAATATCACAGGCTTGAATTAAAGTACTTACGATATGATTCACTAAAAACAGCTATATAAAAGTCTAAAGAATGTCACCTGAATGTCTTACACACTTCAAATGTCCGTGTTTCAGTCAGAAGTAGCATCAAACCCAGGCTGAACCCCAAACGGCTCCGTACTCCCTAGCTGAACAGTGTGCTGTGTAACATTAAATTTAGAAATTCTAGCTTCTGCTGTAGAGTATGAATGTGGATGAATCCAAAATGACCATTTTTAGTGATATTTTGCATTGTTGGGTTGCAGGAGTCAGTATTTAAATTCCTATGTAGCTAGTGCACTATGTAGGGAGCAGGGAGGGGTTTGAGATTCAGCCCCAGCCTGAGAAAATTGGCTCCGTCAGACTGGCAGAAGACTCAGGGTGGTAATTTGGTGACCAAAAAGTACTTAGAATCTGAAAGTATTTGCATTAAACAGTGCTGTGTTATCATATGTTCACTGTTATACGAAAAATTGTTTAAAAATCACTAAATGTCTGCAGTTTACAGTGACGGGCAAACGAACGATCTTCTCCTCATTCAGTGGTCAATGGTTGCTTATCAACGATACTGTACTCTAAAGGAACTACATTTCTTGGCGGAATGCTTGTTTATGTCGATTATTATTAATAATGACTAAAATAATTATTTAAAACATTGTGTATTTTAACATATTTTATTTTGGCCTCCATTTTATAAAAGCTATAAGCCACTCGAATCAGTGCGTCACTGCGATTTTACACCCTTCGCCGTGATAGAATCTCAGTAACCCACAGCCTTTTGTGGCTTGTTGCTTTAATAATTGATACAGCCTTAATCAAGATGCTTTCTTACTTTCGGTCCATAGCCAGGAGGGCCGGGAAAGCCGGGTTCACCTACGTCTCCCTGTGTCCAGAAACAGATCATAATTAGTACTGTACATTCAAACGCATTTAATGTATTATAATTCAAGGACAACGTTGTTAATACTGAATTCATACCTTTGTGCCGTTGCACCCCGGGCTACCAGGTGGACCAACAGGACCTTGATTTCCTGGAATGCCCTGAAGAAAGAAAAAAACAAAAAAATGGCACAAACACTCATGTCGTCATGTACAGCTGTGTGCAAAAGTTTTGGCGCCCCTGGTCAAATGACGTTTGTTGATTTTATAAGTGAAAATAAGTGAACACATCCCCTACAGAGAACACACTTCTGCACAATTTAATACACAATTATGGTTTATTTGCTGAATTTAACAAATAGTGGTCTCACCCTGCTTGCAGGTGAGGGTATATATGCTTCAACAAGGTTGTGGGTTCTAATAAAGAGCGATGACAAACCACAACAGCACATTCAGTGCAAAGGAGTTTATTTAGTGAAAGATGTGGAGAAAAAAAAAAACAAAAATGTTGAAAAAGGGGGGAAAAAGAAGAAAATAAAACAAAAACTATTTACAGAATATATTTATGAAATGTGAGGAAGCAACATTTTCCCTCAAAATACATTGGTTCAACAATCAATCAATCAATCATCAATCAATCAATCAATCAATCAATCAATCAATCAATCAATACCTCCTCCCTTTACACAGAAATGGGGTGCTCATAAAAAGATTTCCACCAGTCTACCCAACCCAGCACATACCAGTCCTTCTCCTCTGCAGGGGGAGACAATAATGACCATAGACAATAACTGATTTGTCCCCCCCCCCCAAATGGATCACTCCAATAGGGTCCTAATGAGCATGTTTGAAGTTGCCCAGGCATTTTTTAAGGACAGCTAAAACTACACTTGGGCCTTTTCCCAGACCAGGAAGGTAAAGTGGAGCCCATGTAAGTATTGTAAGTTATAAATCTGCTGCTAGTATAATGATAAAAAGCCCAGTGTCATACTTTAACTGTAAAAGGTGACATTATGTACCAAGCTAGCAAAATGTGGTACTGCAGTGAGAAGTAAACAGCAGCATTAGCTGATAAAATGATGAGGGAAAGTTTATGAACTACGGTAAAACTAGAGCAGGGGCCGAACGCGACTGAAATAAGGGGGAGTATTTAAGGAAATAAGTTTAACTACAGAAACTAGTTTGTTATTCATCAAGTGGACAAAATAAAACAAAGTGGTTTGTGCAAAAGTTATCATTTAACATCATTAAAATATTTTTTCTAATATGTTAAACTCACATTTAATTTGCTCTCTGTAGAGAATGTGTTCACCTATTATCCCTCTCAGAAAAAATTAACAAACTTTTGCATATGACTGTATGATGCCAGTATGAGCAGCAGTAAAATTGCACTGGCAGAACTCTGCTGTAACCTTACCGGCAAACCTGGAGCTCCAAGGAAACCTAGATTTCCAACAGGGCCCTAAAAAACACAAGACTTTCAACACAAATGCTCAAAACAGTCACTTATTTCAGTTTTAGCGTAGCTGCTCTTTTCATTGTGTGAGCAATTCACGATGAATAAGCCAATAGAAATGGTTAAAGCAAAATATCATTACATTAATGTACATTAAAGTTAACTCCTATTCAGAGGTGCCATAAACTGCAACCCCTTGTTTTGGAGCTCATCAGCTGAACTATGCATTTTTAAAATAACATTAATGGAATATAATTGTATGATGGAAATGTGTACGAGTTACAAAACCAGCAGGGAACTGGATTTTCATTGTCGTAGGTGAGCAAGAACATCCACATTTCTAAGTGTTTTATTGTGTTTAAGCAATTAAAGCAATTTATTTTTGATTATTTATGCACAAGTGCACATTCATTCAAGTGCACTCATTTACTTTGTGCACACAGAAACAGACAGGCCATCAGATAAACACACTTGCACGCTCGCTTCGTCTCTCTCTCACACAAACATCTACAATGTTTATAACAAAAACACTGAAATATTACCCTGCCTCCTTTTGATCCTGGGGCACCCACAGGACCAGCATTTCCCTTAAACAAGAAAAATCCATTTTTAAAATTCAATTTAATAATCAGATGAAATATTTTGAAGCACTATTACACATGCCTCAAAAGCTTACATTTACATTACCATGTATTGAGGGTATATATAATTTACTGGTTGTTAGGGCTGCGCTATATAGACAAAATACCATATTATGATTATATTGCTACATATTGTGATGTGCTTTTAAATACATTATAATAGTAACACATTAATGAATCTTTGATGTGGGCAAAGATCAGACACCTACAGAAACTCACCTAAGCAGTCGGAAAAAAAGGGTACTGTACAGGTAGATTTTAGTTCCCCAAGACAAATATACCTTTAGGATACAGCAGTAGTGGCAGGCTGGACCACCCCACCCAGTCTCCCACCCACCCCAGAAGTGGGTCAAGACCACCCCCGTCCAACTTTTTATTTTTTTTTTTAAGAAAAATAAGTAAAAAGCCTGGAGTCAAGACAGTGTGTGGAGTCAGTACAAAGGCCAATGTTGTAATAATAATTCTCAATATATTGTGCGGCCCTATCAGATGCAGTGGTGAATAAACACCAAACAACTTAAGGTTTTTACAGCGTTTTACCTTTTCACCTGGAGGACCTTGATGACCCTCAGCTCCAGCATAGCCCTTTAATCCAGGAGGCCCAGGGTCACCAGGATATCCTTTTTCACCCTGTAGGAAATCAGCGACTGAGACAATCACTTGATGGAGGTAGTTTCAGCTGTATGAGAGATGAATGTACATAAAGAATGTAAAAACAGCTACAGATGTTGAACTATGTCTCCTGAGGAGAACATACTGAAGGACACTCAAAGGACACAAAATAAAATATCTAACCACTGCTACATCTGCAAACCTGTCTATTCACAACCTACACGTGCTGCATTAGTCTCTAGAGTAAGATTTTACAGTTTAACAATTAGGAAAAGCCAATTCTGATAATGAAGGTGGGATGAACTTTTTAAAAACTGCTTTGGGTTTTTTTTGGGGAGGTTGAGGCTTTATGTTTTGAAGCTCTTTTGTATATGTATATACTTGTAGCAACTGTCTTCAAATTATCATTACAATAGAGAGAATGGATGAATCAAATGACTGGAGGACAACAAGCTAAAAGCTACAGTTGCAAGGTGGCTATCTCAATACCTGACTTCTTTTCTTGGACTGAGAGTAAAAAACTCATCTCTGGCATCTCTACTTCTAAACAGCAATTCTATCTTTATTTTGAAGATTTTTCAGTTATGACTGAAGTAAGAGTTACAGTAATGCTAGCTGTATTTATTAGCCTATAGCTCAGTGGCTAGGCTAGCAGTCAGGACTGGTTGACACCACAGGGGTTCACAAAGGTTGTTTGATGTAGTTCTGTAATGCATGCTGGGTAGTGTAGTGAGAACACTGAAGAACAAAAACATGGAAATGGAAAAGCATGAATTTTGTCAAACTGATGCGGCTGAGGGTTATGAGGCTGCATTACAGTGTTCTGTACAACACTACAAATAACTAGACAGCTGTAGTTTTAGGCAAATGAAGGAAGGACTGAAGGAAGGACTGAAGGAAGGACTGAAGGAAGGCATTACTTTATGGATCCCGAAGGGGAAATTGCTGTGTTTCGGTAGCAATACATATAATTGCACATAAACTTGCATATACTAAGAAAATAAATACAAATAAAATAGACAGAAGTCAAAGTATAAGAAAGTAGGAATAAGTATATTTGCATATTTGCATATATGACAGATTTGTTGTATTTGCATGATAGCAGGCACTGAGTAGTGTGAGGTAAACTAAAAGCACAATGAGTATAGACATAACTAGAAGTTGCAGCAATATTACAGTGTAAAGTGCACAGTGAAATGTCATTACAGTAGTAGTTATGATGTATTGCACAGTGTGTATTAACAGTAGAGGTGATACAGTGATGAGGTTCAGCTCAGTTCAGACAGCAGGAGATCAGTACCGTCTCTGCAGTAAGGAGACTCGTTGTAGAGCCGTATAGCAATGGATGAGAAAGATCTCTCACAGCGCTCTCTAACACAGCACAGCTGTAATGGTCTGCCACTGAATGTGTTCTCCGTTTTTCCAGTGTAGCATGCAGGGGGTGTGAGGTGTTGTCCAAGATGGCTAACAGCTTGTTGAACATCCTTTGTTCTGCCACAACCAGAATGCCCCTTTAATTTCGAGTAAGTAATAAAGGTTACCCCTTGTCTCAGTCCTTACTGAAATACCATCATAAAAGTTCTGAGCCGTGTGTGTTAGCACACACTCCATTCCAGAGAAGGTAGAAATCTGCTTCACACACTGTGCACAACTTTACTTTAAAAGTCTAAAGCTGTTTAGATGTCGTGATGGAGATGGTCAGGCATTTTACATCATAAATACTATTCATCTGACCACGCTACTTTTTTCCATTGCTCAGAGGTCATACTCTTAACATCAGGTCACGTGTTAATGTGTTATTGAATACAAACAGCTTCTGAACGTCAGACCCACCATAAATTCCAGCTTGGTGAAGCTCAGAACGTACCATTTTTGGGATGTGGTCACAGAAAAGCTGATTCAATTCTGTGGTCATTTTTGAGGTTGTAGCTTTGTGACCTTGTTACCACTGCTCCTGCTTTCCTGTTTGTCTATATTTGGCATTTAATGCCAAGATTTTAAGGTTGTTCTCTTTAAAGGGGAATTCCACCAATGTTTCCAAATTTCTGAATAATTCAGTGTTCAAAGGTAAACAGTCATTCAGAGTGGTTTGCTCTGAAATGTTTCTTTGTAGAAAAGCATACTGACTCAGATTTCTCCATATAATGGTAAAACAGTGGTAAACCTGAAAAAGTAAGCATTTCAGGTCCTATTTTTCCTTAGTATGTCCTCTCTGCTATGAATAGATTGGAAAAGCTGTTTTAGGTCAAAAATATCATAATTGTTTCACATCAAGCCAATCTGAATGACTTTGCATCTTAACCATGAAATTATGCACAATTTTTTTTGAAATATTGGTAGAATTCCCATTTAACACATTTACCAGTTTGGGGTGGAGCACAGGATGTACTGGACACCCTGCTGGCCAAAGCTGAAAATTCTTTAACGCACCAAATTAGCATAACATAAAAGAATAAAATGTTTGAAGAATAATATCTGTGTATTTAACGTTGTAGAATGGTGTGTTTATGGGAAAATTAGTTTGCAAAGTAGTTTGATTATTTACCTAAATAACTATAAAACAACAGCACCAAACAGACACTGCCTATTTGCCCGGTGCCACTAGCCACACATTTGGGCCAGTAAAAATGCAGAGCCTGTGGCCTGAATGGCCTCTCGCCTTTGAGATTATTTTCCCTTTTATTAAACCAATAGACCAGTTGAATTTTCCCACATTTGCAAACATCCACAAATTATAAAACAATTACTTTTTACCCTCCTGTGTGAGATCCAGAGGCTGTCTGATCAGACGCTAAGTGAACTGCATCAAATCAGATTTTGTTGGAATCTGCCAACTGTAGCGTTTTTATTACCACCACGACTAACGTGATGACCACATGACCACAGTGTGCTGGATGTTTTTGGTTGGCTGCTCAAATTTTGCTCTTTTATGGCTCAAAAGACTCAAAGATGATCCTTCTAAAGCTCTTTAGGAGAAATAGCATTAGACAAAAAGGAGACATGAGATACTTCTGTCCCACATTAACATTATTATCATAGCAGAAAGATCTTAGTGTTGGATGAGTTGTTGAGTTCCTGTTTTTAGTTTAGCTGCAGATAAACATGAGTGTAATTATCTCAGCAAATCTCAGCACAGTGGCCCTTATCCAAGGGTCCAAGACCCCCTAATTAACTTCTTGGGTACCCTTATTGTCTCAAAATCAAAATTCTTGATAGGTCCCTGAAAATACAATAATGATGACTTCAAGCTGTCCATTAGAGAAAAACAGACGCTCAAACACAAATTCAGGGAAAGGTCATTGTTCAGCTGCTTCACCCACAATCAGTGAGCTTCTGTCTTTGGTATTCTTAACTAACTAGAGCTGCAGCACTGCTCTGCCTCAGGGTGGCGCTGTAGCAGATTGTTTCGCATAGTTGGTCCTTCACACCCTAGCAACGCTAACTATGCCCAGGTTACCTCTGAAAAACTTTAGTTTGTCTCAGTGTATGTGTAAATCAGAGAACATGCACAATTCCCCAAGAGATTGGTGTAAAAAATGAACTGCTACTCATTTCTTAAACTGAAAAGAGGAGCGGTATAAGATGTCTTAATGCGAGGAGGAGCATATTACCAAACTAGAAAAGAGCATTTGCAGAAGTAGAATTGGTAAACCTAATACTTTGTTACCATTAAAGCAGGCAACAGCGCCACCATGGCCAAAAAAAAGCCAAAAAGAGTTTATATTATGTTTACATCACGTCTTATTCTGTGAACTGACTGGCTGGTTGCAAAGCAGAAATCTGACAGTTGCCTGACTCATGTAGACCTGCAGTTTTCCCATTATCTGATTACCCAAGGTTCTGTAAACACAAACAAATTTCTCACAAAATCTGTTTTTTCTGCAGTTATCAGTTTAAGTGTATGTAAACACGCTTATTATTTTCTTGAGAACTCAAGAGAACATACGATATTACTAAGCCTTTTTTCTAGGCAGCAGCAGAGGTTTAAACAAATACTTAGGCCCAATCTCATTTCACCCCTCGCCTCTACCACTGAGCCCTTAGCCCTCTGTTTTGCACATTTATGTCCAGGGGTAGGGTGTCCCGATTCTTGTAGACATAGAGGGGTAGGGTGAAGTGTTAGTTTTTCAGAGACTCACTCCAAACAGAGTTATGAGAAAGAAAAACTGGCAAGATGGCTGAACAAAAGACCAAAGAAACCCACAAATGTGAACTTTCTCCGTTAACAAATTATGGTAGCCATTATATTAACTTAGTTTAATGATGTTTCAATGTGGGCGGCACGGTGGCGCAGTGGGTAGCGCTGTCGCCTCACAGCAAGAAGGGCCTGGGTTCGATTCCCGGCTGGGCGACCAGGGTCCTTTCTGTGTGGAGTTTGCATGTTCTCCCCGTGTCTGCGTGGGTTTCCTCTGGGTACTCCGGTTTCCTCCCACAGTCCAAAGACATGCAGTCAGGCCAATTGGAAATGCTGAATTGCCCCTAGGTGTGAATGTGTGTGTGATTGTATATGTATGTCTGTCTGTCTGCCCTGCGATGGACTGGCGACCTGTCCAGGGTGTATCCTGCCTTCCGCCCAATGACAGCTGGGATAGGCTCCAGCACCCCACCGCGACCCAGAAGGGTAAGCGGTTTAGATGATGTATGTATGTATGTTTCAATGTATTATGGTCCCTTTCTTCATAACAAGCATACAAAATCGCTAATCCTATGCTAACATCTCAGTAACTAGCGAACTAAATTTCCTGTTCCACCTTAAATAGTCCAGCAGTTCTGACACCTGAAGCGCCAGAATGTAACCATTTAAGGTGGAACGGGAAAATTCAAAAGAGAAGCTGGCGAAAAAAAAATCGCTTCAGCTTTTTATCACTGAAGAATTAGGGGTGGGTGATAATGAATCATTTTCACATCCCCCCCTCTTTGAAGGCATATGATGCCCTAAATGTAACTAAAGCCCAGCAGTGAGGAGCTGAACTTTACCCTCCTCTGCTGTCACTGCAGACTGGCAGGGTCGCCTACAC